CCAAGCGCTCACCAACTGGTCCTGCAATTCCCTCACATTGCGAGGGTGTAGCGTGGCAGCACGAATTTGGTTTTCCAAGTAGGACCACAAATGCTGTATTGGATTAAGGTCAGGTGAATTTGGGGGCCAAGACATGACTTGAAAGTCACTGGAATGTTCCCCGAACCAATCCATAACGATTCGACCCTTATGACATGGTGCATTATCCTGTTGGTAAATACCATCAGCCGCAGGAAAAACTGCTGCCATGAATGGGTGAACCTGGTCTGCAACTATGTTCAAGTAGCTTATAGACGTCAGGGATAGTTCTATTAGGATTGTGGGTCCTAATGTGCCCCTTGAAAACATTGTTCCTAGGTGAGAAAACATGAAAACCTAGTCCATCTCATTGTTATAGATGGTGGGTGGTCATAATGTAATGGCTCTTCGGTGTAAATCAGTAGTTAATTCGTTCCACTTTAGCTTCAAAAATTTTTTGAAGCAGTTTTGGAAAAGTTTCAATGTTGGAGTTGCTTCGCCTCATCCAAAACCTACCTTTCATTCTTTAACTTTCTTACCTTTTCCTGCATTTTCAAATTAAGTTTTTCTTGATCCCCTCAAACTTTCGATAGGACTGAGAGAGTCACTTTAAAATTCTTATTCTACTATCAACTAGTCATTTTGTGGTTTGTATTGAAACGAGAGAACTTGTTGTTTGACTAGATTTAGAACTCAGGGTAAAATATTTTTATAGTCGGAAGGTGGGAATGAACTTATGCTAATTGTCGAGAACTTTAATGATTATTTTTAGTGCTAAGCATAGAATCCAACGATAATTATTTGCTGAGAAAATATGAGGTTTTCCAAATCCTGGTCTTTTTTGATTCCCTCTATTATTTTTTTTTCCATATGAAAAAATGTAGCTCTGCTCTTTCCTGTCATTTCTATCAGTTTCCAGATGCCATGAATGCCCACAATTATTAAAATTTCAAGTTTCTTTCCATCTCTTTCTTTCCTTGACGCAGTTCTTCACTAGAATCAAATTTTTAAAATAAAATATATATTTTAAGTGAAAAAACTCTCATGCTCATTTGTATAGACTAATTATATTCAGCAGGTTCATTTCAGAAATAAGTTATATTAGCTATATAGGAGTGGCAAGATCCACCGAAAATGCTAAACTTTAAATTTCTATTTTTTTTGCTTCGTACTGTACTTTTAAATGTACTATCTTAAAATATGTTTTTTTCCTACTTACTTCAAACTTTGCATTTCAATATTCATATTTGTCTCAGGAATATTAGAAATATACGAATTATTATAATGAATTTAAGGAAGCCTCTAATTAAAAATAACCTGTCCACCTATAGTTAAAAATTGCATATTATCTTTAAAAAATTAGAATAATTTTGCTATTTTTGATTTGAAAAAATCGATAAGCATATAAAATTATTCCAGACATTTTTCAGGATTGAAAGAATCCATGAGCTCTTCACATTTTTGAGCTTTTTGAAGTTTAATCAGATTTATAACTTAATTTCATGTATAACTGATTAATATAAAGAATTATATTAAAAAAGGAAAAAAAAACAACAATTACCTCATTTACTGAATTTATATTCATATCAAAATAAACTGGTAAAAATGCGTAAATAGCTATAATGCTTCCAAATATTGCACCAAACATCCAAATCAAATATTGTGTGCCGAACAAATAAGTTTCTGATGGTACTCCAAGGATAGAATTTGCCGACATGTAAGCCGCCATGAGACTTACAGACACAGGAAACATTTTCATTTTCTTGTCTCCCATCAAATACTCCTCTATGGTCTTCTGCCTTCCTCCAGTGAACCGAAAATATATTCCTATTGCTGATGAAAAGGCTAACATAATGAGGATGATAATGTAGTCGAGTGCTTGTAGTTTGTTATCCATTTCAAGAGATGTTATAATTTACACATTCAACTATAAGGAAAATATTCAAAATATATATCTATGCAAAACAGTCATTGCTAGCATGTAGTAATAACAAAAATTAAAACAAAACTGCAGACTCAGTACACTATCAAGATATCATTTGCACAACGTTTTTTACATGAAAATTTCTCCTAAGTAAGAAAATGTATGAAAATACTAGAGTCAATCAACTTATTTAAGTTTATTATAGACGTTTGACAGGTTATGACACTGGTTAACTCCAGAACTTGTAATTTTGAATCCATTCCAGAAGATAAAGGAACTTCGGGATCAATCATTGGGACAGATTAGCAATTTTATAACTTACTAATCATAAACTAACTCGCAGACGCCTTTTAAGCGGAACTAACAAGCATTTGTGTAACAAGAAGAGCAAATGCACAAAAACCTCCTCAGTTTGCCTAATGACACGCGAATTCTAATCCATAATCCGTGTACCACTGAGGATATTTTTGTGGGCACAGTATTCACTGCAAACTGAGAACAAAATTCGTATCAACCAGCCACCGCTAGATTCGAACCTAAAAATTATAAAAATTATTCAAGGGTGAAAGTCGAATTATTTCCTATAAATAGCGTAATCATTATAGTAAATAATTATTAGCTTCCTAATAATACAACATAACGAAAAAATAATGACGAATGGAACAATACTAATATTATTTCCGTCATACATTAATAATGATATTAAAAAGTTAAGGACATATATTAAGCTACCGAAAAACATTAAAGACATTTAAAAAATAAACGTACATGTTCATAAAACATCACATAACGTAAATGTTCATAAAACATTATTAACAGGTTCATAAACGTATTTAAAACATTAAAGACATTTAAGAAAAATAAATGTGTAATACGTACATACAAGTCTATAATAGCAAATCTGCAACTGAAAATGTGTTACTAAAAGAAAACAAAAATCGAACCTCGGTAAAAGATTTCTATTGATAGTTTTAAAGAAAGTAAAATAAAAGATAATTCACTGTAATCAAAATGACACGGCAACTAGAAAAATCATTTGTCACTGTATGTATCCTAAACAAACATTCAAATGATTAATGTCATGATTGATATTTATATATTTATGTAATCTTATGTAATCTGGCAATATTACTACTTCAATTTTAAGATATGAAACCTGTTCTCTCTCTTTTTTTTTTTTTTATAAGATCATCATTTTATTTTGCCTCTTTTATACTATGCTGAATAAACAATTAGCTTAACTTTTAGATGTTAGATTCAGTTAATATTTGCATAACTGAATAATTTTTACAGGTCATGGACTCCAACATGTTATGCAAAGTTAAAATACTGAAATATTTGAGTTTGGTGATAGCTAAGCGGGAGTGTTAGAGTTCAGTCAATTAATATTCCAAAAGTCAGCAATTTCAATTAGTTTATTGCAATGGATCAAAGAAAAATCCAAGTGAAGTCATTAAGTGGTAAAAGTGATAGGGCGATTTGGAAACACAGAATTAAGTTTGTTTTAACTATCATGCAGAGGCTCTGAAAATTGTTGAAGGAAAGATGCACCAGCCAGAACAGTCTGATCCAACAGCTTCTGAAACTATTAAATATAAGGATAGAAAAGAAAGGATGATCTCCGAGATTTAAATAAGGCAAATAACTGTGCTGTGATGGTGTTAACGAACTCCGTGACAATCAATATTTTTGGCATCAATAATTCTGTGATTCTTTATAGCTCTTCTAAACGAATGAGTATCTTTTTACTCATTAATCTTAAGCTTTTTAAGAAGAAGAACTTCTATTTCAATTTGAACCTATTAAATTCATTTTCAATGATATCAGCAATTTAAAGGCACTTTTTCGCCGTTCATTACTGCACGGTTAATTAGTGCCTTTCTTAATTATTTGGCTTATAAACAATTTTTTTCCTTTTAAATATTGACACATTAAAATTAATCAATTTTAATTCTCGAAAATAATTAGTAATGACGCAGATATTTTGCATTCATCTTTTGCAAACTAATATCAGTACTTATTTCGACTTAAGTTGCTAAATTAAAAGTAGTATTAAATAATACTGAAATAATGAGAACCTATTATATCAATTTAGGTTCTTGGTATAGATACTGTGGAATTGGTTTTTTACAGCCTTGAAAACGGATATGCATGCTATTATCACCATATAACACATTCATGGCATCTAATACGCAATCTTTATTTTTTATTTGTTCCACATTATGGCGTGGCTTCATACTAGTATTAAATTTACTATAATATAATTTAAAAATTCAACTCACCAAAATCACGATTAACTATACATATAGTATCATTTAATCTGTAATATTCAAAACTTTCCACAATTTTACCATGGATAAATAAATAACTTCGATAAAATTATATTACATTTTGTTGCGTTTCCATTATTTAAGTTTCTAGAAACACGTTTCGAAAGCGTTTCAAGCATTCAAGCGTTTCAAAAGCGTAAAACTATAAATATAAGAAATACGCGATCGCATTTATCCCTTAAAATGTGAATTCGATAACGTCATCACTATGCATACCGAAATCATTCACGTTAATTTTACTTGTAAGTATCTAATATAGGATACCAAAAATAAATAGTTAATAAAAACAAGCGATAAAACTAATTGTTGATTAATTAGAGCTGCAAAGCTTGAAAATCGTCTTATCATAAAAAGTCATCAAATCTTATGGAAAACTTGCTACTTGGGATGTAGCACGAATCGGTGATCAGAGATAGTTTTAAAGAAAGCAATTAGGTTCGACGTGTCTTCGAAGGTATTTACACCAAATTTAGTGTGGATCGGTTCAGAATTGCGGATTTGTATACAGTACATACACACATTCATGTATCTAAACATTTTTTTCCGCATTTATATTGATTTTAATTAGTTTGAATATATATAATTTTAATCTTTATATTTTTATGGAAATGTGGATTCGCGTAAGACAAAAAACCTATTTAAAACGGAATACTTCTGTACCAATCAGTTCCCCCTTTAGAGAAAGTTTATTTATTAATAAGTGAAGTTAACGCAACATCGATCTTATTGATCAAAGAAAAAAAGAATCCTGGTGCAGAGCAGAGAGTTCAAATCTCTTTAAAAGTGATATTTTGCATACCTCTCCCTCCAGTACGTCTTTTTGCTTAAGAGGACACTATACCTCGGGACAAAGCTTTCGTGACAATTTTTCTCACCTATGTAAGTAATATTAAAATTTTAAATACAGAAAAAGTGAGTTTAAATATACCTGGAGTAAATCACGAAGTGTAAATGCTAAAAAAATTCAAAATATCAAAATACAAACAAATTATGGCAGGATTACTTTGGTTTTCGCTGCGAGGAAGTAGTTCTGCAGAAATATGTTTGCATTTTGATATTTTGAAGACAAAATGTTCTCAACCTTTGAAATTTCAACTTTTACTCTAGGTTTACCTGAACTCCTTTTTTTCAAACTTTAAAATACCGAATGAAACAGAATCCGCCATGAAAAGTGTCTCCTGTGGTATGGAGTCCTCTTAAGACAGATAAGGTGCAAGTATAACGCGCTTACTTGCTTGAATTAATCTGCTTATATTAAAGGATATATAGAGGAAAGGATATAGTGGTTTAAAAGAGTTAAAATGTATCAATAAATTGTGACAAAAATATGGTTATGCAATTGCACTGATAAACACAACACCCAAATCGGAAATTGTTTTAATGAATAGCTTCTACTTGATAAAAATTTTAAATACTTGGATTTTTATTTATCGTTGTTTTTTGCGTGAGGAGTTAAGCAAGCACTGTATGAAGCTGCTGATAAATTTATAAATGCAATATTTCGTCAAGCTATAGGGATGTTCGTGCCAAAAGCTGAACTATATCACTTAACAATTATCATTCAATCAAATACCGCGATATTGTGGTTGATAAGGAAAATTAACTGTTTATTTTATTTTGAAATTATAAGGTATTCCAATAGGTAGCTATAGTAACTGATTGACCATTGATAAATTTTGAACAGGTAAGTGAAGTGGCACCAGCTTAGACATCTTTATCTCAAAGTGGTTAAGAGTATATAATATGGACGTTGACGACATTTGCCACGATAATTAATCCCGACTGTAACTTCTACTATAAAACACATTAAACGCTGTAAATATCAGGGTAACTAAGCAGCAAATTTAAGTCATGTAAGCATTCTTTTTTCAAGGTACACACGACTTCTTTGACAGATAATTTCTCTCTCGTTTTGTGCTTGTTGAACGCGCTACAGTAAATTAAATAACACTTGTTTTATTTTCAAAGAATGTCGCATAGCATTTCTAGTCCAGTAAAATTCGACATTTTCTAATATCTTCTGCATAGTCAAATGATGCATTGTTTCTGGTATAATATTTCGCGCTCAATTGAATGCAACTACTCACAGAACAATTAGACCAATAGTTTAGTAGTCACAAGGATTTAATGTGCATAATGTACGTTTTTTGCTGATGTCTACTCTTGCACCAGACATTACTATCTAACCAAATGGAGTATTGTGGCCTATAGTTACGTAATTTTTTTGTGGCATAACGAATGAGACTATACAGCAGTTAATTGAATGACTAGTTAATAAAAAAGCTAGTTTTTCATGTATGAAATGCATGAATTCTGACATGTCTTATGCTCATTTTTTTAAATTACTATCCAAGTTCTACCTGAGCTTGTAAAGTTTATTTTCTGATGAAATGTTTTATGGCTGAATTGAATAAAACCAATTTCGTGATGATCGATTAAAAGGTTGCAACAATTACGAAGGTTATTATACATAAAAAACACAGTTTTGTACTTATAGTCTAGTAAAATTAAACATTTTCCTTGGAAAAATTATTACTCGAGATTTTTTTTTCTTAGAAACCCTTGTTATGTCATTATAAACGATGTCGAAAAACTTCCAATATGCCCTCCCCCCCTATTCATCACCTTTTTTTTTTAATAAAAATGAGGTTAGTTTAAGGCGAAATTGTCCCCTTTATACAAGTTAGTGAGCAGTGAGGCCTACAGGCTAATGAGGTATTGTTTTCAATGTATATATTACGATGAATCAAAGTAGACCCAAATTATAAGGGTTTTCTGTACGAAAATGCGGAATTTTGTACTTGTACCTAATTTATGCATCGGATTTTTCTATTCAACGAAATAAAATATTACTAAATTGTTTAATATGAAACACGGATCAAATAAGCAAATATTTTTAACCCTCTTTTCAAGCATTTTTCAGTTATCAACTAGTCTTTTTTTTTAAACTTAATAATGATTACAGTGACAAAAGATCTTGGAGGGTAATTTTTAAGATGAAAAAATAAAAAATTTCACAATACTTACTGGATCATTACTATTTCTATGTGCACAAGTTTGATAAATGGGAAATGCGTCCCTTTTTCTCAAAATATTTGAAACATAAATTCAGTTCGCCTTGTTTAAAATCATATTATTGCATTAAAATTGCTTTGACTTTTTCTGTTAGAAATCATGCTTTCATTTTTTGAAATACTTTTAAATGAAGTTAACGCTTCTATATTCTTGTTAATCTATTAAAATAATAACGATATTAGTATATTTTTCTGAGTGTGTAAAAATAGTTTAATTTAAAATAAGGAATCTATATTTTGTAGTACTTGATTATAGAACAATTTTAGTCTCTATACCAAATCTCTTTACTATAAGGTAAAGTGTTATAGCAATTTTTTTTTTTTTTTTTTTTTTTTTGGCACAGTNTTCCTTTTTTTTTTTTTTTTTTTTTTTTTTTTTGGTTGCTGAGAACATGATTTGGGCTACTTGCATGATTCTCTTTGCTTGCGGTTCTGGCTGATATTTTCAAGTAAATTATTTAATTTTAAAAAAATTTCCCTCTTAATTCTTTTCAGTGGACTTATTTTTTTGTTCTATTGCTCTTCCAACACTCAGTTTTTCGTCATTAGGGAGACATGATACGAATATTCGATGATCAAAAACTGAGCAATTATACTGCTGTGGGCAGTTGGAATACTGAAAAACGAATGATCGACTTCAGTTGGGAACATCAGAAAATTATATTTAGTGGCTCTACCAACAGGGGCGGATCTAGAAATTTTTCCAAGGGAGGGTGATAGACTCAGATCCCCCCCCCCCACACACAAAAAAGAAATTTATAAAAAAAAATTTTCTTTAATATTTCTTTTGAAAAAAAAACTGGGGTTTTTAATGCTAGTCATCTCATTTATTTTTTTCATAATGAACAATAGAACAGTAAATAAATAATTCAAGCATTCAAAATCTTTAAATATTAAATGTTTTAAATATTTAAAAAATATTTAAATGTTTAAAAATAATTTTAAATGTTTGAGTAAAATGAGTTTAAATGTTTCAAAATAAATACTTTATTTCTTTTGTAAACTATAAAAAAAATTAATATTTTTATTGCAATTTTCAATTTGGGGGAGGGGGTCATGACCCCTATGACCCCCCTCCCCCGCTGGATTCGCCACTGTCTACCAAATATACGGAAAATAAAAAAGGCGTCTGCCGGAGGCAAAATAATTAATATGAACTGATAAGTGCTTGTACGAGTTTTTCTTTTTTTTTTTCCTTTTGCTTTTTATTATTTTTTGCTTTTTTGTATTTCAAATTAAATGCGTAATCCAATTCCAAAGCTTAAAACCTGTCAATGGGAGTTCTCAAAGTGTTCAGACTGTGTGTGAGAATCGAACATTCAGATGAATGCTGCTGAGGACGGTTTGTATTATCTTGAAAACCGTTTAGCAGGCGTAATAATTTATTTAAATTACACTCATTAAAATTATTGAATAGCTGTTTATTGAAGTTACACTCATTACTTTACCGATTTGTTGCAACGTGTTAAATTGAATCAGGTTTCCGTACAAAAATATTATTCAATCAAGTTTTGAGAGAGTTCAATTTGCAAGAGAATATGGTTTTAAAAGTTATAAAAGTAATTGAATAGCTATTTATTGAAGTTATACTTAAAACTTGCCGATTTGCTGAACCGTGTTAAATAGAATCAGGTTTCCGTACAAGGATATTATGCAACCAAATTTGCAATAGTTCAATTTGCAAGAGAATATGGTTTTAAAAGCTATTGAATAGCTGTTTATTGAAGTTGCACTCGTAACTTGCCGATTTGCTGAAGGTATTCAATTGAATCAGGTTTCCATACAAAGAAGTTATGCAATTAAGTTTGAAACTGCTCAATTTTTAATAGAATATGGTTCCTGGTTTTATGATTTTTAAACGGCTCAACTTGGCTTAAATATCAAACGGATTACACGTAGAAACAAATTCTGGAAAATCACCGTACCTTATGATAATGTCATTTCTGGTAAAAACAAAAACATAATTCTTGTTAATAACACCAAACTATACGATGTTTAAACCATTTATTTGGTATTTATCAGATGGTAACGGTTCACCGGAAATATTCAGGTGTCCAAAATTATAGTTCTTAGTACTACACATTTAGTAAATAATACAAAACAGAAAAGTAAATTAAGCCAAATACCCATGTTTTAAGATATTATGATAAAAAAAAACTAACTGTTATCCCATTTTCAGTATTTGTCACATAATATAAAACTTTAGTTTAATGTTATTTTACCAAAACCATAACAAAAGTACATCAGTAAAAATTACCGAGTTTTTTAGTGTTCTCATAGGGCCAGAAACACGTTGAATTTTGCATATTCTGGTAGCTTTGACAATATATTTTATCCAGTTAAGTTTTGAAGTGAACCACAAAAGTGATGCTTCAGGCTTCAATATTTAGAAATTATTATAACTTAATCAGTTTAAAATTAAGTACACGTACATTAATTGTAATTATTTAACACACAAAATGAAAGTATTTATTCATTTGTTTCTTTTACTGAAATAAATAACACGTAACTATTTTTTTATTGCTACTCTACATAAAAATGCGTTCTTTTTATAATTAGCATGTAGTAAACAGTAAAATAAAAATTAGCAGATTTCAGCAATAAAAATACATCATTAATTATATGCCAGATAAATCGTAAAATAATTATTAAATCCTTGTTCTTAAATAAATCTTGAATTTTTACATATAATAAAGAAAATATGAAAAATTTCATTTATAGGTACTTACTTATTTGGCACTAAATGTGTTCAATTTAGATTGATTATTGGTTTATAAAATTATCCTATATGTTAATCCCAATGACAATGGATGATAATTTTGAGTTAGAAAAAACATTAGTTTCTTTTATTTACTATACGTTTACTAAAAAATAATTCATATGAATAAACTAAGAGATATGTTTTTTTCTAACTTACATTTACAAGTTATACACTTACAAAGAAGCATAAATTCTGATTACAGCACCCGCATTCGAAAACGAGTAGCAAGAATATTTATTTATACAGCAGGTTGAAAACAGCTGTCAAGAAAAACGACTCTAGAATCATTACCTCACATCCGTGTTACTCACACTCATTTTATAACGTATGAATGTATTCATACATAGTGAAAATTGTTCTCTCTTGGATAAAATTATTTGTATATGCATTTCAGCATAAACATCACTTACTACAATGCAATGTATATGTATGCTACTGTATAATTCGGAATGCTTATTCCCTGACATCACAATTTTCTATCGGAAAAACTTTGCAGGGTTCTTTCATGTTGGTTTAATCAATAAATATTTCAAAAAGAATGCTACTAACAGTTTGTTTGTTTTTTAAATTTTCACTGAAAAATTGTCACCATAGGCAATATTTTGATTTAACCCTACTAAGATAATTATAAGTGTTCAATAGACTAAAATACAAATAAAACTTAAAATTTATTTTTATTTATTTACTTTGATATCCTTTTGCGTCTTATATTGTTTTTGTTTTTTTTTCCATTTGTCTTTAAGTTTTTTTTTCATAAGTTACTGAAACGACCGATACTTTTGTGTTCTTATGTTTCATTTTAGGATCTTAAAGTGTTAGAGGTAAGAAAATTTTCAGAAAACATTTAGAAAGCTAAAAAAAAGTTTAAAAAGAAAAATTAATAAAAAAATCTCGAACAATAATTTTTTTGCCGATTGTTTATAATGAATATATATTTTTTTAGATATTATAACTATATTAATTGTTTGCTATGAATAAATATTTCTCTTGCATATTGCTTACTATGAATATTTAATTTGGATCACTACTTACGCCATTTTTTTCGAACCTTTTATAATACTCAGTGCTTTTTAGGCTAGATGGAAAATGAAATTTATGAATCATTTAATATATTTTTTTATTATGTTTGTTTTCGTTTCGTTTTCATTTAAGGCCCAAGTTTTATTCTTAAGTAATGCTTAGTAATACTTAGTGCCTTTCAGACAAGACAAATAAATTTTATGAACCATTTTGTATTTTTTTATGTTGATGTTTTCTTTTTTCATTTGCTTTTGAAGTGCAAGTATTTAGTCGTAAACTAATGAGTAATAATGCTTAGTGCTCTTTAGGCTGGAAAGAATATACAATTTATGAACCATATCATAAATATTTGTTTAGATGTTTTTTTTCTTCTCATTTATTACATTTTAGGCCCAAGCTTTTATCTGTAAATAAATGCCTGTAATGCTTAGTTGTAATAGAGAGTTAATTCGTAGCAACAGATGGCACTACCTGTCTATCCGCTCAAACAAAAACAATAGTCTTCGTTTTGACTCCTACCAACTGAGATGACGCAAGAAGAGACACCCGAACCCTCTTCTCTGGTTCCCGTTTTACCCAATCAGTTGTCAAGTTACTTTCTATTTTAGTTATGTTGTTACTCATTATTTTATTTTATTTTATAACCGTTCTCAAACAGCAGACCCAATTTTTGGGTTTACGACTACCAATGTTCAACTTCGTTGCCTTGTATTTTTGAACCCAATCCAGAAGACAAGGGAACTTCTGGATCAAGTTTTGGGAGAATTTTGCTTTCGTGGAGGACTTTTTGATGGAACTTACCCGAATTTGCGTTACATGGAGAGGAAGACCACGAGAACCTCCCGCGGTTAGCCTGACGGCAAGGAGACTCTAACCCATGATCCGTCTACCACTGAGAATATTTCACGTCAGCACTGTGGTCGGTGCAAGCCGGATGCGGAATTCGTATTGACCAGTAATTGCCGGGATCGAACCCCGGTTCACCTTATTGGAAGGCGCATGCTCCCTCCCCTGAGCCATCACGGCTCCTGTTACTCATTATTGTAAAATGGATGAGTGAATGTATAATTAAAATACTGAGCTCTTCTTGAGGGCGTTTCCAACCATCCTCTTGTGTCCTTACATAGTGCCTTTTAGGCTGGCATGAAAATAGACCCGTTTAACATATATTTATTTTAATGTCGTTTTTTTTTCATTTGCTCTTAGGGCCCAAATTTTTATTCGTTAATCCAAGTTTTATAAAATAACCATCAGGCTGAGAGAATAATTTATATTGAATTTGAAAAAAATTCAGAGAAGCAGTATTCTCTTTTTAAACAGTTTAAACTTTTTTAAGTAATAACAGTGCAAGTATTGCAGTTAATGTGCATTCTCTTTAAAATTTCTTGAATGTTAACCATAATTATCGGTATGCAAGCAAATTTACCACAACCTTTTACTTTTTCGGCCTCGACAGTCTGCTCCTCTGAATTGACGTCATAAACTGTGCACATTGCGTGTCGGTAAACAATGTTCAGATTTTCTTATTTAAGTGTTGCATAACAAAATATCTGGAAATTTTGCAAGAATTATAAATAAAAATGAAATTTATGATAATTCCAAAAATTAATAGTTATTAAATTTAGTTTGATAGGATAAATTTTGAAACAAAGCTAACAAACTTCTGCGTTTATTTTCTGCCTCATATGAACATACGCCGGCTAAATGCTTCGTTAGTAAGTGTAAAAGGAGTTCAAATGATTCCTATTTTTTCTCAACCGGAACCATAGTATCAGTAATTAACAATAGTGAAGGCCATTTTCATGATATGATTTGATTTCAGCATTTCAAAACTCAAAAAGAGAGAGAAAATAATCAAATACCACTCTTTATAGTGCCTTTATTTTCCTGAATATATTTATCGAAGAGCAAAAAAGTTTATTCTAACTTTGAAAATCAAGCTAAGGTCGTTACCACCAGGCAAGTTAAATAACCCCTCTACAACCCGTTACATGAGATTTGACTAATAATTATTAACTATTTCGATTATTCAGTATATTTTCGATTAGTGAAAAAAATGTAGAAAGCTAAAAAAACTAAAAAAAACTGAAAACTAAAAGCTAAGTAGAAAAGAATTTAACCATTTTCAGTGAAACTGTAGCTTAATAATTATATCGTATCAATTATATCATAGTAACGTAACATATCAATCAGACTTAAAAAAAAAACCCAGTGTATGTCACAACCTGGAAAGTAATTCTAGGTAGGAAAATTAAAAGAACATTGATTTCTTAAATTATTCAAATGCACCTAAATTTTTTTATGCATTTAGTTAGCGTGTATGGTATGTGAAAAATCTCAGGATTACTTTGCAAAAATCAATTAAAAATCAATATAAGACACACTGTTATAAATTTCTTTCTAAAATTACGGTAAAATGAACGGCAGCAGTCTGTCCATCAGATTAACAATAAAGTTTACAGTTGAGAAAATTTCTTTACCTTTACGGATTTAAGACCGTTTACAACAAACACGGTTAAAAAACCATGGCAACAAAACTAAACGGTTGTGCTACTGTATACACCTAATATAGTTAATTAACCAGGTTTAAAGAATTTAATTGCTTCATAACCGTATAGTTTAGTTTGTTTAATAACCGTAAATATAATAATGCATTATTAGTAGATTTTAAATAATTAGTTACGATTTTTTGATATTTTCTAGGTTGTTAGGCATAAATAGAGTGGAAAAAAATTGGGAAATGCAAATGAAATGGTGTAAGTCTTAGCAGGTATAACAGCCCTAACATGGTATTCCTGTAAGAAATGAAAATAAATTGTAATGGTTAAAAGTTAAGAGTTACGCAGTATTTGCTAAATGTTTAAATGCATCTAATGCTTAAATGCATTAGTTAAAGTTAAGGCTAGTTTAAGGTTAATTTAAGTTAAGGTAAAGAAGGTGTTTGAAATTAATTAGTTAAAATTTAACGAACTGTTTGTTAATTTTTCTTCTAACTTCCTCTATTTGCCTCAGACACAAATGGGATGTGTAATTTGAATAGATGTCAATTGATTTTCAACAAAGTTGTAATTTTCACTTATTATAAGCTATAGAAATTTAAAATGTCTACATAATGAAAAATTTATAGCAGTTTCTTTATAAAAACAATACTATTAGCTTTCAGGGTTCCTGAAAACGCGTGTAAATGCATTGGCAGTTAAAGAAAGATTATCTATTAATTAGATTCATAGTTGCAGCTGAAGCACGATTGCGAAGAAGTCTGCTGTTAATTTAATAACTAATAAATTGCAGAAAATATATCATTACTTTAGCAAGGCTTTTTTTCTAGCTTTAATAGCTTATATTTCCCGTAATTTAATGAAATTGTTGAAGAACAGTTCGATTTCATTCGTTTTGAAATCCTGCTTTGTTATTTTCGTGTGTTTAACTCTTTTTAAGTTTTAGATTTACATTTAAAAGCTATATCACAAAAAGACAATAAATAGTAATAGAGGGCAACATGTTGAATGCACAGTAAAAAATTTCTGAACAAAATACGGTATAAAGTACCAGCACTTTGGGTGCAAGATCCGTAAAATCCATTTTACTGTAAGATATTATACCTTAATTTTTACAGTAATATTCATTTAATTAGTGTGATTCAGTAATTTTACGGAGATTATTGCTGTAAAAAATACGAAATATCAATTTTTTTTTATTCCGTAACATGCTCCGGTAAAAAGCATTTTTTTTTTGTTAAAAAGTACCGGAACCCTGAGTGTGGGTACTTTTTACTAGAATTTTTACATTGCATCGACCGTAGGTTTTGGTCTTGTACCGTAGGTTTTGATCATGAACATGGAGAGTAGACTAATAAAAAAGTACTATAATAATATACATCTTTTTAAATGCATTTCTTTCCAGTCATTTTCGTTATCACATGAAAAGGCAACAAAATAAACTTGAATACTATGTTCTCAAAGCTTGCAATTCAAATAAGTGGAAGAAGATCCAAATTAGTTGATGAAAAGATTCTAAGAAAAACTTGAAACTGCTTAAAAGTGCAGGAGTTTCGACAGAAAATTGACAGAGAGGCATGAAATTAAGTTCTTGATGCTTTTACTTCTGAGAATTGGAATCTAAAACTTTTATATATGCTTAAATATGCCATATTATATGTTACTTCAAATAAAAAATTGAAAATATTATTCAAAATAAAAAGTAAAATGCAATGCCTTTTTGAACTCTTCAAATCTTGCTCATAAGACAACTTATTTAACGATCAAAATTAAAAATCAAAAAACTTAAGCTTTAATTAGGCAATTTATTTCTAACGATGGCACATTAAAATATTTCTGCTGATTTTGAAAAATAAATTAATTTAGCATATTAGAAGAAATAAAATTTTATTTCAACACTTTTTTTTGTTTATAAGTATGCTTGCTTTCTGTTTTTGATGTATCCATAAACTAAAACTGAATAAAATAAGCAGAAGTATTCGTTGGGATGAGAACGCACTGTTACAATCGTTTAGAATATTTCATCAGAAAATTGTATTTCTTTATTTATGAAACTGGTCATTTTATTTTGATAATAAGATTTTAATTGATTTGATTTTTTTTTAATTGTGATCATTTTGTTTATAAGCTGCAACAGCAACTTTAAACATTTGTTACAACTATTTTACCAGTACCACCAACCTGCAAAATATGTTAAAGGTTTATTTTACCAGAGCCATTAAGAGTATGAAAAATAAAATAGGTTATAAAATATAGTACATTTGTTGATGCGTAGAATAAGGGTATAGTGATTTTATTATTTGTAATAAAAAATTTGTTAATTAAAGTAAATAATCCCAAGAAACTTAAATCGTAAGATATTACCTAATTAAAACTTCATTCGCTTCAAAAATACATAAATAGGATATAACAGTCGACATGTTTCAAGTGCCAAAAGACAGACGCCTATTTTCAAGACTTGCCAGACGCGAATGAGAAGAAGAAAGAGTGATTTGAATTTACTGCCTTTAATCTCAGTTCAGAATAAATGCTTCAAGATTATTAATTCTCTAAATATAAATAATTCAAGTGTAACAACTACCAATATATATACAAGAATTAATCTATTACCATTTCGCCATAATGTATTTTTTCGTATTTTAATTTATTTACACAACAATAAATTAATATGTAAATTAAAAACTAATGTGTCTGAAAGGAGACCAACTGAAATATATGAGATTCCCCACTTTACAGAAAAAATTTCATGAAAACAGTTTTTTTAATTAGCACCTAAATTATATAATAAATTACCATTTCAGTTGCAAAATATCCAAATACTCGTATATTCCTCTTTTAAGCGTGCTTTATTTCAGTTTGTTACGAACATTGACGATTTAGATCTCTATTTTTCACTTTAAAGGAAGCATTTGATTTTTCATACCAGTCGTGTGCCAATCCAAATGAATTTCTTATGTTACCTTTGTTATGTTTTTATATAGTTTCATGTATATTTTTTCTCCTTTAAATTCTTAGTCGCCTGAACAGGATTTTCCTCTTGGCGACGAATTCTTTGTATTTATGTATTTGTTTTTATTCCCAATAAAGGTTTTGTTTGCTGTTAAAAGAAAATGTAAAACGGAAACACGCCTACGAAAAATGGAAAATTAAAGGTGAGAAACAAAACCAGAAAAACCGAAGAAGCCGAGAGTGAAAAAGAAACAAAAGCAGAACAAGAAAAAACCCAGTGGCCGAGAAGGGCAACTCAGGGTAAAATGCATTTCCATGTTATGGTTGTTGTAGTTCATTTACGTCGCACTAGAGCTGCACAATGGAATATTGGCGACGGTCTGGGAAACATCCCGGAGGATGATCCGAAGACATGCCATCACAATTTTGATCCTCTGCAGAGGGAATGGCACCCCCGTTTCGGTAGCCCAACGACCTGCATGCGAAGTCGAGTCCTTTACGGTATAACAGTTTAACGAGGACCCATACCGCCCACCCTCGGTCCCTACGCAGACTGATTCAAGTGGTCACCCACCCGCACACTGACCGTAGCCAGTGATGCTTGACTTCGGTGATCTGTCCATGTTATGGAGAGGTAATACTTATGTAGAGAAGTTCCCCTTGTTAATGTCGTTAACAAAGGAAACTGATTCTATTGTTAACGACATTAGTTCTTCAACACCTCTTCATCAAGTGCCTGTTTTTCAGCGCCTGAAAAAAAACTATCGACTGTTGTTTCCTATTTATATATTTTTTTAAGTGAATGAAGTTTTTAATCAGGTAATATATAAATTGTTATTATTTTTTTAATCAGAGTAACTATTATACACAAAAAGTATATATTTAAATTATTTTCTAATTTTAATTTTATATGTTAAAACAAACAATAACAAAGGGGAATACGAAAAATTGTGAACACATAAGGTGGATCTGGAACTTGAACACGGATATTGGACTTCTTGCATATCACAAAACATGAAACAATTATTTTGAATTCATTTCTTTCATTTCTACCTGAAAATAAAAGAAACTATCTTTAGCCTCGTTGTTCTATTAAATTTATTTAAAATCTAATCTAATTAAAATTAATCCAGTTAAAAAAAATATTTATCTATCAAACCACAATCTTAAATGATAGCTCAAAATTATATATAGCATCAACCATTTAAACTATTTTTAATACTATTATGACAGGTTTAAATGGTCTACAAGAATGCCACATAGATAATGGTAACACGCGATGTTTCGATTATATTCAGTATTGATGTATGTCTTATACATTCAATATTTATTCACATCTATTATATTCAATGTTAATACATTATTATTCTTGTTATAGTCAGTTGTATGTAATTACACAGAAAAATATTATTTTTCATATAAATGGCAATTCTTCAAAACTGTTATGCACTTATAGAAATTACATTAAAAAAATATCATTCGACACTACTATTACAAATGCATTCAACTCCATATATTTAACTTTACATTATGAAATTTGCTTGTTTGCTCCATGCATTTCACTTGCATTTATAAAATTTATATTTCTGCTCCAAACATTTCACTATAGTTAGAAGAAATTTGTTTATCCACCCTATGCTTTCCCCTTTAACTAATAAAATTTGTTTATTAGTTAAAGTGGTGCACCGCTTTATGATTTTTAAAATGAACTAAATTCCAAATTAAGCAATAAAAATATGGCCTTGAGAATTATACAGATATAAAATAATCTGAAGGAAAAAATTAACATCATGTTTTCAATGCATTTTAAAAAAATTGTACTCTAATTTTAAGAATATAAATAAATTCTTACATCTGCGCCTTTACTTCCTTTTGTTATTTTCGTTGATTTTTTTGAACTGTTAAAATATAGCTTTCGAATAAAAGGACTAAAATATTCAGGTTTAATATCTTTAGACTCATCAAGAAGACCTGGAAAGAAAAAATAAATATGAAACTTATTTGCATGATAATTATTGTTCATGCATAATTGATTCTCATACATCCATTATAAAAATGTGTTACAAGCAAATAAACAAATAAAAAAGGATTTTAAAAAATAAAAATAAATGAATAAAGTAAAGGAAAAGGTTAAAGTATGAAACTTTAAAGCAAAGAAAAAAAATTAATAAAATACAAAAATACATTATGGAGAAAAAATGAAATTTATGACCTACATGTAACAAAACTTGCAATGTAGCCAACTATAAAAACTGATAGAGTGCCAATCAGAGGAAACCACAAATAGGAGATCTTATACACAGGAAATATATACCTTTAAAAAAGCGAATATCATATAAATGAAGAATTAGTTAAAGAATTAATAATTGATTTATTAATTATAATTAAGAACAATAAAAAATAAATAGTATTTAATATTACAACCAATGCTTATACTGCCCCAAAACGACCGCATAAATTCTGCACAGCCAGATTCCTCGTTGGGAGTACATAAAAACTGCCCAAAGAAGCGTTTCTGTACGATCTATAATTTACGAGAAAAATACGAAAAACAAAGTATGACGTCACTATCGGTGCGAGAAAAAAACATTTTATTGGACTTATCAACAACAGTATTCGCAAATCTTTCCAGACGATAATGTTTAAAATCTTAAAATCTTACATCTGCTTTAAATTGTGCATAGTATACTGCTGTTCATATGTTTAATAATGTGTTTTTTCTTGCACCGACAGTGACATCATACTTTGTTTTTCGTATTTTTCTCGTAAATTATAGATCGTACAGAAACGCTTCTTTGGGCAGTTTTTATGTACTCCCAACGAGGAATCCAGCTGTGCAGAGTTTATGCTGTCGTTTTGGGACACCCTGTATAATATTGGAAGTTTTTATTTTCTGATTGCAGGCAATGTGTAATGCATAAAAAAGAAGCAGAATTTTTATTCAATAAAGAAAACACTCCTTAATTATTGTGAAATGAAATATCGCAAGGTACATGAGGAAAAAGCTAAGTAGAAAATATGATAAAAACATGCACTCCAGTGTAAACCGGTATTATATTTTATTTATCCATACTTTTGTTAAGAAATACTACACGTATGAAATAAATGTTCACAGTTAAATTAATTGTTTGTTTGAATTTCAAATTTAAAGAATTTCCTTCTTTAAATTTGAAATTTCCAAATATTTAAATATTTAATTTCCAAATATTTGATTCCAAATATTTAATTTTTGCGTGTTATTACTGTGTTTTTTATTGTAAGTTTCTTTTATTTTATTTTTTTATAGTAATGACTAAATTTGAAACATTTTTCTGTGTTTCTTTGATCTTAAATGTATGTCCTTCCAATATTTTATTAAAAATAATTGCCTACAATTTCTAGAATTTGAGAAAAAAAGAAATTATGGTTTTAAGAGAATATAATGCATTAATTAATACTAATATGCTGCGCCCCATGTTCGCTAACTCTCGCCAACCCACGAAAATTGCTACGCAATCTTATATGGTTTTCTTCGCAAACCAAGCTTGCTTCGCTCGCTACTAACTTAGGTACATTGCAAATGCACAAAATTCTAAGAATTCAAAACAATCATTCAAATCCATATAACAACTTTTTTTTAAAAAAAAATTGCATATTTTTAGTAAATACTAAGTCATTAAAATAAATTTGAATTCAAATAAATGACATGTAATTCGTTAAACTTATTAGAAATGTGCCATAGTATAAAATCTTAAAGTGTAATAGCACGACTGAGACTCATTTTTCAATGAATAACTAATAACAATAATAAAACAAATAAATTCGTGATATAAATCAAAAATCGTCAAATAAATTCGTATTATATAAATTCGTGAAAAAAAGCGCTCTGGACAAAATACTAAAATAGAGATCTATCGACAAAGACTACTTACTTCTGCCTACCTTAATAGTATGAGATTGACGCAGCTGATAATGCTCTGTCTGGTTATTTCAGTTTCCGTTTTTAAAAGCGCTATATGTTGAGCCACCTCAGCTAGATTTGAAAATTTGACAATTATAGCGGCAATCATTGGTCGATTTCCTAGAGTTGCCATTCGGGGAGTTGTAATGAGGTTTTTTTTGTCACCGTGTAAGAGAAATATTTATATAGATATTAATTAAATAAAATTTAATGTTTCAGTTTTGGAGTGATGTGCCTCAAATACAAATATGGGTATATTAGGCATCGTATTTGCTTGAAAAAATCAACAAAAAGTTTAAGGATCACTTAATATTAAATCACAAAGTGTAAAATGACTTATCACTAAGTTGAACTTCCCTAACCTCTATTTTTCTTTGTGTTTTGAAACACTTCTTAGTGAGAAGGAAGTAAATTTAAAATAAGAATCAAAACTGCAGTATTCCCATCAATTTTTTCAAGCTTTTGATTTGTCAGAAATAGAAAGTCCTCTTTTCTTTCTCCCGTACACTGTTAAAAAATTCCATGATTTTTTACAAAATTTCTCTGCATGTTTGACTGTTTAAAGTTGTTTTGACAAAACCGTTTTTATCTTATTTCCAGCCTAGTCACAAACGTATTAAAACCACCTGTTCAAATTCTAGCTTTTGCCATACAGCTTTGTTTACTATTTAATAACTATTTTTTTTACATTATTTTACGATTGCATTATTTACTTGCTCTTATTTTTGTGCAACTATTTGACATCGTAAAAATAAAACCGCGATTTCATTTCTATTTTCTAATTGATATCCGAATTGATTATTATATTTCTTTAGATATAATTCTTTGATTAGTTAAGTTGCCAGACATTTTTATACAGGTGGATCACACTTACATATTATTTCAATTAGTAAAACAATTTAAGATAAAAAAAGTATTAGATTTGCCTTCTTACTGTGACCCTAGGGCTGCTGTAAAAATTTTATGCCAAAAAGTTTTTTTTCTTCTTGCATACCAGTAATCACTAGCATAATGTGTATTTTTTCGTATCTTTAAAGTTAACAATGATCATTTTTTAAGAATTATATAATGTTGAAGCTTGAAGTGTGTGTTTCTATGATATTTATTATTTAATAATATTTTAAAATTAAAATATTGTATTGCGCTATTTTTAGACCTATTTTTAAATTCAATTATTGCATTGTTTATTTTTCAAATGCTGTGAAATGCTATTATTGCATTGTTTTGCATTTGAAAATTATACAATAGAATAATTGCACCATCTTTTTAAAAAAATATTTTTCAACGAAACTCTTTAACCTTTTTTTTTCAATAAATGTTTTGCAATGCAAATTTTATTGTTTGACTTCTTGAAAAATTTAATAGTAACCAATTAGCAATAAGAATAATAGTAATAATAAGCAATAAGAATAATAGGAATATTAATAATAAGAATAAGAATAATAGGAATATTAATAATAAGAATAAGAATAGAAATAATAAACTATAAGAATAATAAGAATAATAAGAATAAGAAAAGCAAGAATAGGAATTATAAGAATAAGAATAATAAGAATAAGAATAATAAGAATTAGAATAATGGGAATAAGAATAATAAGAATAAGAATAATAAGGATAAGAATAATAAGAATAATAATACGAATAATAATAAGAATAAGAAAAAGAATAAAACTAAGTATAATAAGAATAAGAATAACACGAATAAGAACAATACGAATAAAAATAATGAATATTGTTTTAAAAAAATATATTTTATAATACCTTTCTTCGTCCAATGAACTTGAATATGCAATGCCAGTGCTGACTGTTGTGGAAATCACCTCACCGGCAATCAAATTTTTCGTACTATTTAGTACTGTTTCGGTAATACTTATATTCAGTACAGGACACCCAGTTACGCTTTGACTTAATCTTGGTACTTTTGCTTTAATTGCGTAAGAACCAAATCCAAGCCATGCATTCACTGTAAACCCTACAAGTAATCCAATCAATGTTCCCTGAAAATAAGAAACTATCTGTAAGAACACCAATTAAAATTTTATTCTATTCTCCCAAAGTCAAATTCTTAATTCGTTGGAATATAATTTTAATTCGTTTCCATTGGTAAACAAGTGTCTTTTTGTAATATATATTTAGGATTTCTTTTATTCTGAAAATAAAAACATTTTTTTCATCATGGAAACTGTGAGACATTTTGTCTCTTGGTTCGTTTTTAAAGACTCCTCATTAAGGATGACCAAGGATTATTTCAATTATAGCTTATTTATTATTTAATTCTTGATTATAGAATTATTTACAGAAAAGTTACAAATAGATACATGAGCTATTGAGTATAATGTTCTTGGAGCGCAACTGCTCCCTTTCTTTTTCGTTCACACTAAATCTATCATCGTTCAAATACCACTCTACCCTTCGGCGTTCAAAGCTAATCTCTCCTGCGTTCAAAACTGATCTGATCTCTAAAAAATCCTCTTTCCCATAAGAAACAGTCCTTTGCTCCACCCCCAATGTAGGGAACGACACCTGCAGTGTCCTTCACCCTCTGACCCTCAGGTCAAGGGGTCAATCAAATGCGTGGGAGAGGAATCAGGATCCTGACAGAAACATTGATCGAAATAAATAAGTACCAATTAGAAAATAGGAATATTTTTTTCCTATAATATTGCATTAAGGAAATGCAGTTTAAATTAATCAATAATTATCAAATTATAATTATGAAATGTGAATCCCTTTAGTATTCGAATAATTAATAATTGATTGTTCCGACGAAATCTCAAATAATAAGCATTCGTGACCTAGTTTTATGCACAACTTTTTTTAGAATACCTAAACGATATATTCAATCAAATCACAACAACTTACAACTCTTAATTTCAGGAACCATTTAAATAAATAAATGCCTAAAAAGTAAAATGTACGTATAGATATTTTTAAAAAAAATTTGTTTTTAACTATTCCAACTACTAAAAAGTATAATAAAGTACTGCAGTTTCAGTAAATATTCATTTGCTTCTATTTTTTTTATTATAGTGAAAAATATCAATCAAATATTAAGTTTCTTGAGCTCAAGTAAATTTTTAGAAAAATTGAAAAAAAAATTATTCATAAATAAAAAATAAAAAATCTTTATACATTTTTGAAAAAAAATATACTGAAGGTAAATACCTAAAATTAATTTTAATACCTCTTTCTTGGCTTCCAAAGATTTTAAAAACGATAACGATCATGATCACTTTAAATTTTTTTAATTTATAGTTAAAAATAATGCGTATTTGAAAAGTATTTGTGTGATTATAATTTGGATAAATTTAACATATTTTAAATATTTTAAAAAGAAAAGAACTGTCATACCTTTTCGTTGGCTCGTTTGCTGAACATGCCTAACAAGTAAATTCCGAGAACAGGTCCTCCAACCATTCCAAAAACAATATTGCAAGCCTCTAACACTCCACGGAAATTAGCGACAATGAAAGTCAATAACAGGCACAATCCACCGAAACATACAGCTATCAAAGGGAATAATATTTGCTTACATTACAATAATGAGTACATGAGGGTACATAAAAATACCAGCAGACAATTCATACAGCTTTTAAACACATGCAATCATGTGAATATGCACGGTGAAAAAATCTGGAGAAATTGTATGGTAAAGACATTTCCAGTAAAAAAAGAACCACAATTATCGGTGATAAAATCAAAATATGAGGCATTTAAACTATGATTATGTAATTTTTCCGTTCATTTGGTAAAGATGTACGGAAAATTCTGGTATACTTTCGAAATTATAGTTCCTACTACTACACATATTATTAAAAAAATAATGAAAAGTAAATTTAACCGAATAAATAGTTTTTATACTATGCTCTGAAGTATCATGATAAAATTACCAAATTTTGTCATATTTACTAAATTTTATCTCATATTATAAAATCATATATTTTATAGGTAATTTTGACAAAATCTTTATCAAAGCACTTCGGTAAAAATTACCGTGTGTTTCTTTTTTTTTTCCCCTCTTTTTTTTTGGTGTTTCCATAGCGTCAGAAACACGGTAAATTTTATCATTTAGTTCTCTATGGGTATATTTGAGAGGAAGTTTGAACGAGCAATTGTAGAAGGAGTAAATAAAATGTACGAATGCTTCAAGGCCTCGGATATTATAAAATTTATCAAGATCAATGAACTAAACCAGGCTGCTCATGTTTTCCGAATGATGACCCAAATCACGACGGATATACGCAGTTAAAAGAAAATTTGGAATCCTAAATGTTCCAAACCTTAACCAGGTAACTGAAAAACCATTGTCATCTAGATGGTTACTTGGAAACTTCATCAAAGTAAGGTCTTGTCCCACTCAGGGGTGTCACGCAACAGATCATGATATTATATGAGAAAATGCTTTTTTTCTTTCAAAAATTTATTTATCCATAGGTCTTCATCCGCATTTTGAATATTAAAAGCATTATACAAATGTTTATACTTTTAAATCCTCAAATTAGGGAGCTAAGTTTGACTTATGTTCCTATTAGAAGACTGAAGTTCCTATAAGATATAATCAGCTGTATCAATATTAGTTTGAAATCAGTTTATCAGCAGTTGGTACTTCTCTATCTCCAGTGTATACTGAAAAGATTTTTAGCACGAAACATATTACACTTTACTTACGAAAAATAAGCAAAAATTGATCAATACATATCTGTTTTATAAAGTTCACTGTGCAACTCTGTTATTCATTTCACTGCAATTTTTTAGTAGTTATTGAAATTGAATCATTGCAGAATCTCTACTGGAAATATTTTATATTTATAAAACAAAATTTAAAAATAGGTACAAAACAAAGTGAATTCTATGAATGCCTCCATCACTCGTGTTTGAAAATTTCAATTGAAAAACTGAAATACCACAAAAAAACGCATTGCTTCAGATACTATCTTAAAAAATACATAATTGGTGCATTTTTAAGTCTTACCAATAATTTTTGCTAATAATGTAGCCCAATTCTCAGTCAACTGCTTGCAGAAGCAATAAGGTCGAATGAAATCTTCCATTGTCACAGCCGTCAAAGAGTTTACTGCTGATGAAACTGTACTGAGAGCAGCACTGAATATTCCAGCAATGCAGAGCCCGGACAGGCCAGGAATGTGTGAGAACATTTTGATTATTGCATATGGCATCAGCTGCAATACATCACATCATACAAAATGAAAAGAAATTGAATAGCAACTTACTAATAGCCTGTAGATATTAAAAGCAAATAGATGCTATAATAAAAATAAATTTATAAATAATATTGTTTAACAGATTAATAATTGCATTGTTTTAATTGATAAATTTATAAATTATATTGTTTAATAGATTTATTAATTGCATTGTTTTTAATTTATGAATTAAAAACAATATAACAATAAAACAATTTTTAATAGATGTTTCCGATTACATTTCGAATTCATTTATCTGACTATAATAATAATCTAGTATAAAAATGCCTATAGACTATGATAACAATGAAGGATAAAATGTATAGTGAGTTTTAAAACGATTATTTGCTCAAAGTCCGCATTATAACCAGAATAGAGAGTGATAATTCAAAATGAATTTATGAGCAAACTTAAAAAATATGTACTCGTATGGTAAAAATTTTGTTAAAAAAATATTAAATATAAAATATTATTTATAAATTATTTAAAAAAATATTACTTCTATGTTTAAATATTATAGCGTATTTGTTAAAAGCTAACATGTTCTCGTAGAAGAATAACAGAAAACACCGATATTGCATTATACATATTGAGAAAAAAAGTATGGTCAAAAACTACCATGTATAATATTAGTAAAATTTATTATTCATGACTCTATGGGAGTAACAAAAGCACGTTAATTTTTGCCGAAAAGCTTTTGTAATGACTATTGGTAAAATTAACGATAAAATAGGGTTAATATGATAATTGCTTGAACTATGCTAAACTAAATCAGTAGCTTACTTGTTACGCAGTAGTAGTAGTACTTATATTATGTCACATTAGAGCGGCAACTTGACAAAGGCTTATAACACTGATATACAAGCTTTAGATATGTGGCATGGAGTTAACCTTTTCTAATGTAGTTTGTTATGCTAATTTCAAATCTGAAAACCTGTTTATCTCTATCACGTCAGGTTTTTAAGATATTGACGAAAATTAATTTTCATGCAACATCGTTTAGTTTTCATACAATATTGTTTAAATTTCATTAATTGTAATGAAATTTTGCTTAAATTTTAGTAATTTTCCACGGAATATTGCTTGAATTTTATTAATTTTAAGGAATTTGCTTGCATCGGGTACAACAACAACACAATTTTGCCACATACACTACGTTTGTGAATTTCTTTGCAATGAGTGCAACTTCATACTAGAACTAGCATGAATTTAATAACCGATTAGATTCAGGCTGTTAAGCATGAGTTAAATATAATCAAATATTTATTCGAATGCAGATAAATATTATTTTTAAAAAACGGAATAATTCGCGAAGTTTAATTTTAAGCTTGTGGAACAACGAACTTTTAATACATATTCCGATTTTCTTAATAGTGCATAATACGATGTAATATACCTTATTACTAGTAATTGATGCATTATAAGTAATAATAATGCATCAATTAACAATAGTTTCTTAGAAAGTTAATTTTAGGATAAGTTAAAAATATTGACAAAAATTATGAAATGTTTCATTTCAATACAATTCTTTTATAAGAAAACAGTTGTTCCCTGGGGAAAATTATTGAAAACTCTAAAAATACATTAAACAACATAAATACAGAAATACATTTAACAAATGTCCCATTTTTCTGTAAAAGTTTATTTTCATAAACCTTTATTGTGCATAACGTAGCTTTTGAAATAAAGAGTTTCATTTAATTAATTAAATTTTCAAAAGAGAAAAAAAACTGAAATAATAAAATACAAGAGTAATTATTTATTATCATTTAAAATTGCATATGACTTTTGTAAATTAATTTATTTTATAAGCGGAGCACGCAAATCTTTTTTACAGACTACTTACCTGATCTGGGGATTTCAACTTCGTATTCTCATCTAGCATTGGATCACAATCGTGATAATTGGAATAGATAACAACTCCATCCAAAAATGAAAACACATTAAAAATTACTATAAGAGGCAAACTGTAGAGTAAGGCTCTAAAAACAAAAAATAAAAAAAAATTATAACGAAATTCGAAGAAAAAAATTAGTAAAAAAATTTCATTTTTAACTAAATTAAAAAATTTTACAATGTTATTTTAAATCTCCTGATTGTTTGATTACAGAAATTCTGGTCGAATTCTACAGTTTACTATCCAATTAAGTAAGCTATGGAGAGAAAAAAACTGGAAATTTGGCCATTTATATTTTAAATTTTCATATTGAAATTACGTATTTATTTTTCTAAGCAAGCATTTTAAGCATTACATAACATTGTTTTTATAGGAAGAAAGAAAGTAATAAAACATTATATTTAACTTAAAATCTAAAGAATTTAGGCAGAGCATTAGTATAAAAGACAACATACTTCTTTGCTTTTTTCAAATCCCCAACACTGAGCATTCTTTGTATCTGTGCTTGATTAGTTCCAAAAGTATTTAAACTGAAAAATACCCCACTCATAATAGAATTCCATAGGGTATATCTTGCCGTTAGGTCAATAGTTGTGCTATCAGAGAATAATCAAAGCGTAAATATATTAAATGCTTAATGCCTAAAATAAAATTCTGAATTGAATATGTACCGGATACAAAAGTTTTGTTGAGTCCGGGTATTCGATACCAGGTAAAAATTTAATCTATTACACTACCAGTTCCAGGTACTCGGTAAAAAAAAATTTTTATCCCCCTATTGGCTCCAGGTCTCAGCAAAATATGGTTTTATGACCCAGCCGGGTATTAACACATTTATGCAAAACTGGATGAAAATTGTCTAATTTCCATCGAATAAATATTTTGCATGATATAGTTATAAGAAAATTTGTTGAGTGTCTATGAAAATGAATACAAACCTTTTATTTATTTTTTTAACTAAATTAAAAGAAAACATCAAAAGGAAATGTGAGATGTCAGTTCAGATGTAGGGTAATTAACGTATATCCTAACTATGAAGTGAAGATATCTAGTACTGGTAATATTGCAATAGCTACTATAGTTTCATTTGATTTACCTAAACTTTTAATAGCATTTGTTATTTTTAATACAAGGTATTTATAAAAAAAGGTAAAAATTCTTATTCTTCCTTTTTTCCTACAGTTACCTTAGTACTTTATTCAGTATAATTTTATTAACTTTAAACACATATCAATTTAATTTTATACTATTTAAGTTTTTTTATCCACTACAAATTTAGTAAAAAGTTGTCCGCATTAGATTTCCTAATTTGCCTATCCTTCTCCTAAGCAGACATGTCTCTTTAGCGAATATATTTCTCCTGTCCAAGGGTATCTCCTTTCCAAGGGTATCTCCTTTAACAAGGTTTTCTTGAATAAAAATTCTGCAGTGAGAGTAAAAAATATATTATTTTGTATAATATATTCCATCATCTTTGCACTTTATTTTGCTGATTAGGGGAGTGTGTGATAAGAACGGGTACGATGATTGGATCAACTAAGTTTTGTTTTCTAGCTGGTAAACTCTGAATTAAAGGTTACTGGTCAAGAAGAAGGACCATATAGGCGTACTTATTAAAGGAAAACCAATTGCAGAATTTGATATTATTTGTGGATAACCCCTTACCAATCAAAGTTTTCTTTCAAAATTTACGAAAGCTACTTAAACAATTTCTTGAAACATTTAAAGCATTTTCAAGACTTTCAAATCAAATTTTTCCCAAATAGTTACCAAATACGATTACAACAAAACTATGAAAAAAAATTAAATACTTTTTTCGCATGCGCATTATGAAAAGACTACTTTATAAGCTCATATATTGCGTAATTTTAAACGATTCTTTTTTTAAAATTTAAAAATGGTAATGTTGTTATCATTTAAGATGGGCTCTAGCATTTTGTTTAATTTGATTAAATATTTTCAAAGTTATAACAAAAAGAAAGAACAAAGTTATAACAAAAAGAACAAAAAGAGCAAGAATTTTTTTTATATCTTATAAAAATTTAATTGTTGCATAGAAAAACGTAACCCCACCCGTCCGCGTGAGGGGGCAGCCTAAAGTTATAAAATAATCTTCTGAGTATTCCTTGTGAAATTTTTAAAGAAATGTCAAAAACTGAAAGTTCCCCAGTTATTGTAGAGTAATGTATTTATATACCAAATTTAAACTGATAACAAACTAAAAAGCAAATTTATATCAATTTCGGGTATATATTTTAATTCTTACTCAAAGAAAATAATCCGTCCACCTTCTTCTGCAATATTATATGCTTCACTAATACCACCAGAGTCTATAACTCCCTTCACAACCACAGCAATAACTGAAAAAAACATAAGAAATGCCTGGAAGACATCTGTCCATAAAACAGCCTTCAAACCACCCTAAAACATATTTTGATTATAAATTACTTACATTTCAGTAAGGTCTTATAGACAATTTTGTTTTATGGAATTGCATAATATTTTGATTCATTATAACTTTTCAATCATTTAGCATTATAGTTGAAGAAATAAAAATTTTTTTTCATTCAAAATTTTGTTCAAAAACGTGTTCATTGCTCCAAAAAAATTGACCACCAAGAATTACTTTCGATCTAATGATCGGATCTTCAAGTTCTGGAATTGGATCTTAATGGTTCAAGGGGGTGACCACAAATATGCTAGTGTAAACAATCTTTTAAAATTTGAAATTAGACGCAAAATCGTACTTTCTCTGAATAAATATGTATTTTTTTTTTTTTTTTGTTGATGGATTGGGATTTCTGACATTCGAAATATAGGAGATAGTCGCAACCTGGAAAATGTCAGTTGACCTGGAAATAGGACCTGGAATTGTCCCAATAGTTTGGTCCGTTGAGTGGTCCAAAGCTTAGACCCCTTAATATTAATTTTATTTTTCACGTATTTCGTCATATCTCAAGAACTTTGTAAGCGAATTGAACAATTTTTGCACATAAATATAAAATTCGCTTATCCAAAGATCTATGCAAAAGTAACTTTTAGTAAATATTCACTATTTTATTTAATAAAAGCCGACATTTTAAGGAAAAAATTTTTCTTCATTTTAAACATAACAGAATGCACATTTTGAGCAAAATCGGTCGAATAGTTCCTGAAAAATTGAATTTTAAAAATACAATAATTTTCCCGCTTTTTTATTTTACTCTCTGTATTTCGAACTTACTTACAACAGAGTAATAGCAAAATATGATGACAATGACATTAATTTTTCGCTTATATTTCTGCTTTATTGAGATAAATAACACTCGAGTTAATGCATTTTATTAATGTAGGGTGTTTCTCATGAAAAAGCAGTTTTATTGATATATTTTGAAACTACACTTACTAAAGAGCAATAGAATGTGCAAACTACAGCTAGAGATACCACGGATGTCCAAGTTGAAATGCCAGTAACGGCATTTAACGCTAAAGATGGGGCATATAAAACAACAGCCATGTACAATATCTAAAAATAAAACAAATTACTAAAAATGTTGCGTTTCATTGCAGCTTCAATAATTTCTTAATGCCTCACAGTTGTATATAGAGTTTAAAACATTCACAGATTTTAAAGACAGATAGATTCTTAGATGTTGAAGAAAGATTTTAAAACATTCAACCCTAATTTAAAAAAAGTAATAAACAAAAACAACCTGTAACTACATGTTGATATGTTGTATGTTATGTTGTACTACATGTTGCATAATGTTCAATTTCAAAACCCCTTGTAATCTTTGTTGAGTATAGTGAACTGAAACATCTGAACTGAAACAAAACAGAAACATCTCTGAGAATCGGACTTCATTCGTGAATGAATATGGCGACCAGGCAGGAGAGTGTTGATTACCAATCTGAAGACTTTTTTTATTCGTGAAATAAATTTGAAATGACTTCTATGTTATTGAATTTTTTCCGAACCTTTGATTGCTGTTAATAAAGTTTGAACTTTGTCACATTTTTTCAATGATTTGTGATTTTGTCCTTTGTGATTTTGTCATTCCTGAAACTATTTAATAACAGTCACTGTGCTCAGTAATAAGTAGATTGGGTTTTCAAATTTTAGTAGATTTGTCTTGAAGATATTTTTACATATTTTTGATTATTTTTGAGAAACCTCTTATTACAGTATATGAAACAAAAGTAAGATACCATTCATATAATAAATTATTATAATTAATTTATGCACAATAAATTATTATAACCAATAATATTTAGATAAAAAACAGAAACGAAATATTGTTCTTTTTCATAACATTAAAATAATATCATTTATTATTTTTTTATTTTCTAAAAATGACTATTTATTTTTCGTCGGAGTTTTTGTGAGCATTTTGAGGACTCTTTACTAAGAGTACTTCTATTTAAGAAATATTATCAATAACTAAAACAACTATTGCATTTGTATATTCATTAAGTAATGTAAAAATAATTTCATGAAATTTAATATTCAAAAAATGATGAAAGAGGAACTTTTTCAATTGCTCCAAAAAATACATTCTTTAAAAACCCGTTGGTTTTATTTCAATGTTCATATATTCTCAAAATAGCTCAAAAATCTTATAGAAATATTCCAAATGAAAAACATATATCATACGCTACAAGAAAATTATAACAGATTTCCTTAAAACCTTATAATTCAAGCATTTGTATAGTTATTTTTCTGCCATTTGTTGTAACTTCTTATGTTTTGTAATGTAATTTAGTGTTCTTGATTACTAGTACTTGTATTTTTCAGTAATTTATCTTACCATCTGAAGTGTGAACAAAAAAGAAGTGACGGTCCTTGTAGTTTTACCAAACCTCTTTTCTAAATACTGAAAAAATATTAAAAGTATTTCAGAGAAAATATAAATTTGAACATGTTTGTCTAAACATATAATATAATTAGTAACTTCAACTAATTTTCCTAAAACATAGTAAAGAAATCAAAAGTATTTATACATCATGCCTCTAAGTTTTTCATTTTTGACAGTGTAAAATGTCTAGACAATATGCGAATTATTCATTATTTCATACTTTGATGGTCGATTTTAGGTATTCTGTAAATGATTAGCCCTTCTTAAAAATGCCACATTCTATGCTTGGTAACCGACACAACAGTTTTATTGAAAATTGAAATAAAACTTGTGCAAGTTATATGCAAAAAACTGATTTCAAAGAAATATTTTGCTCTTAAAATTGATGGATCTTTTATAAGAGCCTTTACAATTTCGTTATGCTTAAAATTTAATTGTATGATATGCTTGAAAATTTCTCTATAACGTCTATAATTTCATTCGATTATTTTTTTAAAGAAAAATAAACCCGTTGTTTTCACATGAAAGATTAATGAACAATCATTAGATTTAATTTATGAACTGAACTGAATTTATGAACTGAGCCACTGAAAATTTTACCTACTTTGGTAGCTTCGACCATGTTTTTTTGGAAATCGTTTATTTTTTAATGTTTTAAGAAGTGGTTAAAATAAAGTAATAATAAGAATTGAAGTTAACAATAAAATCGGCGATTGCCGTTATTAATAGGCAATAAAAAACACTCCAAAAAATAAGAACATTTAGTAGAAATTAGAGTAAAAATGGTTTCTAAAAATATCTTAAAGCATATTTTTTTACCTCATATGCCGTAGTGACATCCATATTATAGAATACTGGTAAAAATCCGTAGCAAGCAATAATTCCGCCAATGACGACACCAACCATCCACATTGATAGTTGCGTACCGTATAAATATGTTTCGGATGGTACGCCTAAAACACCGATGGCAGACAAGTAAGTGGCCATCAGACTAAATGCAACAGGTAAAACAGACATGTTTTTTCCCGCCATCAGAAATTCGGCAGTAGTCTTTTGTCGTCCACCGGTGAAACGAAAGAAGATTCCTACGGACGCAGATGTGGCCAGCATCAGACTAATCACTACATAGTCGGTGATTCCCAGCAAAACCGACATTTCTTTCTTATTTTGACTGAAATAATATAAAACAGTTACCTCGAAATAATATAAACCAATCTTTAGAATTTTTAAATCAGATTGAACCATAAAATCAATTAAACTTGGGTAAACTTAATAATTTGAAACATACTGTGTGCAATAATATATGTGCAATATAATATGTTAAATCATGTAATCATGCAATTTAATATTTCCTTAATTTGATCCCACGCTACTATATTTGTATTCAACATTGTTCCATATCATCAGTCCCTTATACCTTAGCAACAACCACAGTAAGGTGTATATTGTAAAAAAATTATAACGAATTCTACTGGAAAAAAAATTTTTTTGTAAATATTTTTGTAAATATATATTTACAAAAAAAAAACGCTTTTAAGATAAATATAGATTTTTTTTAATCGTTTCCTGCTTGGCTTTCTTTGTTTATTTGAAGGTTTAAAGCTGTTTTTCACCAAACAGTTTTTATTTATTTTTCACCCTAATCATAAACAGACTAAAACTGTCTTTAATTCAAATTATTTTACATACTTCTATAAATTTTATACTTGCTCCTACTTCTCAGAAAATATTGAACATCCTGTAAATAGAATTACGATTCAACTTCATTGTCGAATTGATTCTCTACCTGATTCTCAACCTGATTGATTCTCTACCTGATTATGAGAAATTTTTGTAAGAAGGAGCCAATATAATCTTAAACGTTCTTACGTTAATGATTACGTTAATGATAACGTTAATGATTTCAATAAGTAAGCTAAAGACTTTTAAGCTAAAGACTTTTAAGATAAAGATATTTCAAGATTTTTTTTTCATAACCAAACACTAGAGCTGTCGAGGTTCAGGGGATATAGAGCTAGACTCCTATATAATGTTACCCAGGTTCGAATCTCGACGTGCATATATTGTTCGCATCGACCACAATGTTGACGTAGTTATTGATATTTTTTGTTGTTAAAATAACAGTTTGTTTGCTATAACAACAGTTCTATCTGCTTAAAAAAACATTTGTCCGTTTTTGAACAGCAGTATTTTTCTGAAAAATAAACTATTTTTTACTGGCGTACCAGCTGACAGTTTTTTTCTATAAATTTAATAGATTTTTTACGGCGTAAGTAAATCATTCTTCCGTGAAATACCGTGAATAGGAACAATAGCTCTGAGTAATCAGTTTAAAGAATCAGAACATATGATATAACTTAGCAATATAATAAGGTTCCAGCAAATAAAGACATGGTTAAAACACAAAACTTCTAACAAAGTCAGATCTATATTAAACAGAAACATGGTTTACTTCAACACCTTATGCTGGAGCAATAAATTGTTATGCTACAGCCTGATATTACAGTTCAATGATAAACCAATTTTTCTAAGAGTTTATAACAAGAATCCAAATGTTCAAACAAATTTAAAAATTAGATATCAAATTTGCATGTTTTAGAATATTTTTTTAAAAAAATCACCGTCATTTTTAGTTAAAAAATATTTTTGGTGCATTGACTTATATAGTCATCAACTGTTATGATAGATAACTCTTGTCCTACTCAATTTAACAAAATTTATTTTAAATCAACTGCTGAATCAAACATTTCCTTAATTTGTTGATCAAATTTAGATGGGAAGAAAAATAATGCATACAAATTTAAGAGTTTGGATTCCTTACAAATTTAAGAAATTCAAATAAAAGTTCTTGCAAACAGAAAAAATTCAACTTTACAGAGCAGATATTACTCCCAAAATATGCATTTTATTCATAATAAGACATCGGTATTCTTGTCAGACTGCATAATTGAATAAAAGACAAACTATTTTTAATTAATTTCTGTTTAATTTTATAGAATATTTTTAAAGTGATAAAAAACAAGGCAAAAATAATTGTTTCCTATAAATATCCGTATCTCCTAAATATTTAAGCCTACTCCCACCCTGCGAAATTGCATGCATTCCATAATTGTAAATAATCAAAAAGTAATAATAAATACAAATTACAAGTTTATTGCTATATTTTCAGACATGATGATTTCTGAATGATGATTCCCCTCACACATCTGAAAGTGCTAAGCTTTATTGATAAATATGAGAGAAATCGCATGACTCAAACACCCCAAAAGTTATAAATTAATCCTCTAAGTATTTCTTGAAATTTTTTTTTTAAAAAATTAAAAAATAAATGTGTTTTTTCAGTTATTCAATGGCATTGTATTAATATACCAAATACCAATGGCAGTGTATTTATAAAAAATTGAAAAGCATATTTATATCCACAACGGGTTTATATATTCACACTTACTCAAAGAGATAATTCAACCACTTTCTTCTGAAATATTTTTTGTTACTAACTCTAGAAATTGAATTTAATGGACTCTAAGCAAACAGCATCGTAATATTTAAAATATCTGATAAAGTGTAAATTGCACTATGTTTTTACACTAAATATACCATAACAGGTCAAATGACCGTTTAAGAATTTTTGCATCGAAAATGCGCATCTTGCATCTTATCGTTTTTGCACATTTGACGTCATGACTTTTTCTCACAATTATATACAGTTAATATTATATTATTATTTTTATTTGTATTTTGTTTGTTTCGAATTATGCTTGTAGTATACCTATTTCTACCACAACCGGCCATTTGACCGGGAGAACAATTCTTTGCTTTATAAGGTTATCAGGTCAGAAATGTAATTTGGTTCAATGTGTTGCATTCGATTAGTTGCACATTTCTGCAAAGACTGTTGCGTAGTTAGTTCAATCAGAATAACTGTGAATTCAAATTTCAAGAAATTACCAAAAATTTTAGATTGGTATTATATTTGCGTATGAAAAAGTGACTATAAAAATAAATGTTTTGGTAAGTAGCTTATAATGTATTTTTATAACTTTACTTCATTTTTAAATAACTGTTAGTTTTTACCCTAAAAAAATGCCGAAACAATCAAGACAGCATAAATTCTTAGAAGAAATAATATACATTATTGGAATAATTATAAGAATTATAAATCTTATATATTCCTATAATTATAAGAATTATAGAAATATAATTAGAAGAAATATAATTAAAAGAAATATAATTAGAAGAAATATAATTAGAAGAAATATGTTTGCGAAAAATGTGCAATGGAAACACCCTATGTATGTAAAAAATGCGTTGAGCATTGAATAAAAACTTCTTATTTTTTGTGTTTGTAATACATAAAAATTGGAAATATACAATTTTGTTTAATTATAATAAAGTTTTTTTCAGTTTATTTCCTTATTAACATCCATATTTTATACATTCAATCAAGAAACATAAAGTTCGGTAATTTGACTGGCTATGGTAGAAATAGGTATACATTAAGTGTTGGCATGTTTAGTGTTAAAACAGTTACTTTTAGGTTTATTTTTAACAAAACTCTTAAGATAAACAAGTTGCTCTTTTGTATATAAACAAGTACAGATTTTAAGAAATAATTGAAAGTGTTTTCTATTGTGCAAGAAGAAATTACTTTCCTCTTCGAACTGATAATTCAATAAAATACAATCAAGATTTCAGAAAGTTAACGTATTTTAGCATGAGGAACTAAAAATCCATTGAAAAAGTTATTCAAAACTCAACCAAAGCAGTTGAAAAATGTCAAATGCTTTCTGTAAAGATACACTTACTTTAGCTCTTGAAAACTTAACTTCGGTTAGACTTACTCCTCTAACTAGAGAAATTTTGTAATCCTTATATCACATGAACACAAGCAATACTCTCCGTTCCTGTCTCTAAATAAGATACATTTTCCAGAAAAACTAATCTCCCCTTTCCTGATCAAACTTAAGATACTTACTCGCGTGTGACCAAATTCATTATCAGTTGGGAATAAACAGTTGACCAATTAAGCTATCAGTTGTTTAATAAGCTTCTGTGCTACATAATTTCACATCTTATTTTTGTGCTTTTGATTTTTATCTTCTTAAACTAAAATAGAGCCCATCATGAATCCCACTTCAATTTTCCTGTGATATTTCCCCAAGAAAACTTTTTTTAATAGTTGACCTTTCGTATGTGTGTTTCCTTATCTTTAAGTCGATCAATTAAGTTTTCGAAATAATAAAGATTACTTATCAGTAATCTTTATTATTTCGGGATATATCATAGCAGCTCAAGAAATATTTCAAAATTTTGAGTTTTATTTTAACGCGGAATCCATAAAATTCATTCACTATTTACATGAAAAATAATATTTTCTAACATTATATTTGCCTGTTTTATTATTTTATTTTCCGTTCTATGTGTATTATTATTTGTCAGAATTATAAAACAAAAAAATGCGATTATCACTACATAAAGAAATTGTTAAGTTTTATAATTATTATTTTTATCCACTGAGAAAAAAAATACGGTCAAATCTACCTGAATATCGTTAAAATAATAGTATTTCTTGCTTTATTGGAACAACAAAAATCTCGATTATTTTTACCGAAAAGCTTTGGAAATGGATTTGGTTAAATTAACAATAAGATATACAGTTTTATAATAAGCGACAAAAATTGGTAAGTGTAGTAAAATTTGGAAGATTTCTCATAATATCTTAGAGCATTGGATGAAAACTATTTATTTGGTTAAATTTAACTTTCAGTTTTGTATTTTTTACCAAATATGTAGTAATGAGAGCTATAATTTTGAAAACCAGAATTTCCGGTAAACCGATATCATGTGAACAGAAAAATTACCAAATGAATGGTTTAAATATCATAAATTTTGGTTTGTATTATCGAAATTATGTTGTTTTTTTTACCACAAATACCTATACGGTTCGATAATTTTATCAGAATTTATTTTCACTATGTTGAAAATATGCAAAGAGCCATACTTTGGTGTGAGAGTATAAATTTAGCATCTGTATAGATAATTTAAATTTATATTCATTTCAAGTAAAACATTATGCGTCGAGGAAAGGTTTATGGGTCAAATTTTCATTTATTAACTCATTTTTTTAAAGTTTAAAATTATCAGTGTTCTTAATTTTTTAAGTAAAACAATTAGTGAGGTTCGATTTGGATCTCGATGCGCAATTCATGTTTATGGAAAGATTTCACCGTATGAAGGGTCAAAAAATAATCTGGATCTTGTTTCAAAACTTTTTTGCGCTTTTTTTTTAAAAAAGTCGGGTATTTAGAATTCGATTTCTCACGAACTATTCACCCAACTTCGCTCAAATTTCGTATTTTGCTATGCAAAATCAAATACTTTAAAATCTTGTTAAAAATTGTAAGCTTTAAAATTCTTTTTTTTTTTTACCTTCTATTTAATTAAGTAATAAAATATAGTAAATTTTTGCTCAAATTTATTTCTTGCGTGAAATTCTCCTTAGATTAACGAATTTTATAAAAAAGTTTTATAATTTTTTAATTCTCTTAAAAATTTATCGAGATATTTCAAATACGCAAAAAGTAAAATTAACATAAGGAGGTTCTAAATTTGATCGCTCTCTTTAACTAAACAAAGGGGATCATATTTACCAGTTTGAGGTTACTATCTATAGTTTGATAATCAGAAATCCGAATCCGTTGAAAAAAGGGTATGTCTAATTCAGTGAAAGTATTTTTCTGTATTTGATTTCGTAACTTGAACTATTGTTTGCACTAATTAATTAGTATTTTTGAAATCAGCACCTCTAACAATTAAGAATGAGTCCTAAAACGTGAAAATCCGATCATTAAGTCAAAAGTTATTCAAAGCTGTCCATTTTTTTTCTTTTTTTGAGCACTGCAAACGTTTTTCATATTATTCTTACAAGGATTCTGAAAATACACACCAAGAATAGTCATTTCTGATCACTTTTTACAAATAATAGCATCAGCGATAAAAAAAAAAATGAATTCAAATTGAACAGTGTGGATGACCAAAATTATGAATATTTGTATACCTTGAAGAAAAATATGTCTAGATGAAACTATATCAAACCTTCTGACATCCCATTGATAATTACATGCTACATAACAATAACACTATATTAGGACAATAAAAAATTATTTAAGAATATTGAAAATTAGTGAAATGTTTAAAGATTATAATTAATTTTAACACACAAAACTTACCAGCAAAATGTGTTAAAAACATAAGAATAAAGAAACAGAATATATTTAGGATATTTACTACCTATTTTCTTTAGGATCTATCTACAAAATCTTCGAACTATCATTATGTTCACAACAATCAAAACAGTCATTCACTGTTTTGATAAACTTCATCACCCTTTCCTTTCTCTTTTTAATTAAACCTTTAATAATTATACGTCCCACGTGATCTGCTTCCTTTTTCGCTTGGTGAAAGAGTATTAGCATACAGTCAAGAACATTTTAAGCGAAATGAAAATTTTTGAGCACCATTATAAAAATTCTTTTATGCGTAAATAACTCCATGCAAAAGTAACGTTTAGTAGATATATTTTATTTCTTATTATTTCATTGTATCACAGTAAAAAAAATCAGTTAAGTAAATAATTTTTTACCTCATTTTAAATAAGGTAATTTTGCAAGGCAAAATAAGAAATTTTGGCGAAATCTGTCAAAGAACGCCTGATAAATCGAACTTTTAAAAAGTTATATAAGAAAAAAGTTGATTTCTCAGATACGATTTCGAATTATTTTTCCTATGAATTTTCTTATGTAAAATTATTCGCCAAAATTATGGGAAAAAATTTATTTCGAACAATTAAATTTTTTTTTATTTATTATTAAATAAAATAATAAGTATTAACTAATAGTTATTTTTTGCATCAAATTATCTTTGGAAAAACTAATTTTGTAATTCAACGCAAAAATGTTTTTAATTCGCTTAAAAAATTCTCTAGATATGGAGAAAGACACAAAATGTAAAATTAACATTAAGGGGTTCATACTTTGGATCGCTCTCCTGACCACACTAAAGGGACCATATTGCCCAGATTGCATCTACCCCCTATATTTTGTTAGTCAAAAATGCAAAAATGCCGTCGAAAGAAGGTATGTTTATTCAGAGAAAATAAATTGTTTTTTTCGCCTGATTTCGTTATTTTAAATATAATTTGCACTTATTATTAGCATGTTTAATGTAACTCTCTCGAACTATTAATAGAACGTGAAGATCGATTTTTAGATCAAAAGTTATTCAGTGAGGTTCATTTATTTATTTATTTTTTCTTTTTCCCACTGTATACAAGCATTATTTCTGTCAATTTATTATATGCATTGTACAATAGTGTACAGTTTTTAGTTTTGTTTGCTAAGCGCTTAATTTAACAGCATTAGCTTATGATAAATGAGTCACAAAATGTACTCACTGATTCTAAACAGGAATTTTATTGAACTATATTTTATGAGCCATTGGTATATCCTTCAAAGGAAACGTTCAACTTATAAAAGCATTTTTCTTTTTCAGTTGATGCTTCCGGGATAGATACGTTTTAGCACTGTTTACAAACAACATAAGTCATTTCTCTGAAATAGCATCTTTTGTAGTGGTACAAATCAAATGTTTGCATGGTAAAACATCCATTCCATCATAGCCTGACTACCGAATTACATTGCTTATTAATGTGTATCACGATTTTACATAAGAATAAATAAGTCATGTAAATAGGATAAAGATTAGCCCTTAATTGAATCTAGATTAGAAATTTTTTTTTTTGAATCTAGGTTTATTTTTGACGCCGTTGCTTATAAACGCACGATGACGTTGAATTATCCATACAAAAGTACAGAAAAAAACACCAAAAGACCCTTCTTTTTCCCCCATTCCATATGGCCTGTATGGTTTGTAAAAATAAGGGAAAAATACTTCACTATCTTTTGAGCAAACCTAACTTTTCGAAATGAAGCAAAAGGTTAGGTTATTTATGCCTTCAAAATAATTAGAAACAGAAGAAGATTCGTATTCCTAAACTTTTCAAAAAAATTATTTTAAAAAAAGGCATGCTTCTTACAAGTTTTTATTAATTTGAAGTACGGTTCTTGAACAAAAGCTGGTAAGTGATTTCAAAACTTTTAATGTCGCTTTCATAGTAATTACAACAGGCAACTTCCGGAAAGAAAAGCAAAAGTGCTTTGGTAAAAAAAAAAGAATTTTTGATTTTTCGACGCACTCTTATATACACTCTTTTAAAAAGGTTTTAAAAATTTCACATCGATTATAATTACTTAAAAAATTTTGGAAAATATCTTAGTTGATATTGAAGACAAACTTCTAAAGCAATAGGGTCGCTGTAATTCAGGAAATATTTATGTCATTTTGAGTTTAAAAGGTTAGATTTCAATTTAAAAATTAATTTATATGCATGCGTATAGAAATGCAAACTACCAATCGCGGCAATTAGACGTATACTAGATTCGTATACTGCTCTCGGATGATTTTTTTTAATTAATTGAATTCCGTTTAAATTGAATGTTTATTAATTAACATTTGCCATTCATTATTCAATTTTTTTTTAATCCTTTTAGATAGAATTTCAATTAGAGAAATATATATTGACAGTTTCATTATAACTTTTTGATTAAATACAGAAGTTTTAAATTGAATTTTTTTCCACTCATTTCTCAAATTCAGAAACTTATTAAAAATGAATAAAACATTTTCGAACCAATTTATTTGTTCAAGGATTTAAAAAAAAATAAAGCATCGGAATGAATGTTTGTCAAAGTTTAGCAGGGAGCCTCCCAAAATAATTACTTTTTCAATCTAAAAAGAAAAATATTAATAATTCTGTAAATGAGATTAAGATTTTTTACATCAATTTAGGATGTTTGTTATCGTTTTACAACAAAGGAAATTACCATTCATTTTACTTTGTGTATAAGTACGCACCTCTTTGGATGAAGCTTCCGAAATTTAAGAATGCCTGGATTTGTTGATGGAAAAAATTTCAGAATGAAAAATCTATTGTAAGTTAGTAGAAAACTTTATATGAACTGAATGTTTTTTCACCATTCGCTTAGTGCTGACATCTAGTGGGAATGTTTGTCAGAATTGTTGCGAAGAACAGCACCTTTTCTATATCTAAAGTTTTGAAGAATAAGGAAATCATTGAAATGTGTGGAAACAGTTCATTTGATGCTAGGAAAGACAAAAAGTGGTTTATAATTCTATTTGCTTTTTTTTCTAATTCATTACGATCTTGTGAAATTGGGCGAACTGTAAAATGTATTTTATTAACTCCATAAAAGCAGTATGCAACTCTTTTTTCGATTTGTAAAAAAAATAAAACATTTTTTTTATAACATGAATTCAGACAAAAATAATCAAGTTTATACAAAAATACACGTACATTTATTTAACATTACTGTCCTAATAGGGTTTTTTATTCTTTTTTTTTGCATCTTATTAAAAAAATGCGTTACTTTAACCATTTTTTTCTTCATTATAAAAAAGTCCACGGATTAAAAATTAGTATAAGATATATTTAGAGAATATCAAATACTATCAACAAGTCTTATTGAATATCAAATGGTCAATTTCTGAAATTTAAAAGATTTTAGAGCGCATTAAAAAATTTTCACAATTCCTCATTTTATTCGATATTTGTTTGCCAGTAAACATAAACTCTTCACTAACAGTTAAACTTAAGCAAATAAACAAAAAAATAATTGAAAAATGAATTTTTTGTTAAATATTTATTACAACTATTTTAAATGCAATCAAATTATTTTTAACATATTTAATACCTTTGTTCAAAAACTAAATATGATACAAATGAATAGTTGAACCACAAACGTGTATTTATATACCCTTTTCTTCATGTATAAATAATAAAAATACATACATACATAAAATATGTAAAAATACAAGTAACTGCATTATACTCTGCAATTCAGTCTAAACAAAACAAACACTTTTCATGAATTTGCGATGCAATTTATTTTCAAAAATATATATTTTCAGTAACTATAACGCATTTTGGTATAAAATAAGCAAATGTTTGTAATTAATAAACGTTAAATGAACTAAATACCTCATTCCCATTTATTTTTTACTCCTCAAAAGTGAAATAATTTGTAAAAAAAAAATCGAAATGAAATGATTTGCATTAAAACGTCAGAAAAATTAGGTAATTAGGAGAATGAAAATGAATAATTTAAAAATAGAAATAATAGGTACATATTGTCATTAATTACTTCAATTGTTTTTTATCAATCAATTTTCCGAGCCCTACAGGAACTAATAAAAGAAATTTGCTTACACGGAACCTTTCCAAAATTCCTGCTAATAACGTATTTAGGTTATTCTCAAAATTATAATTAATATTAAAAATAACTGGAAAAAAAAGATATAAATGTTCAGAAAATAATTTTTTTTAAATTTACTATCATTATAATTTTTTTTACACACTCAGTGGATGCGTAGTATTTTATTTTAAAATTTTAAAATAACCTAAACTGCTGTTAATTTTTATTTTAAGACAGCTTAAAAAGTATTAGTATAAAATAATATTTACCTTCACTAATTTACTTTTAGAATTCCATTCTCAAATTCTTTTTTTTTTAACTTCATATGCTTCTTTTTCTTTAATTTTACATAAAAATTTATTTTATAAAAAATTATTCTTTTTCACAGAATTTTATATTGCACTGAAGTTATTTACAAAAGTAATAATTTGATAATTGTTTGGTATTTAAATTATTGTCATTTGAATAAAATTTTTATTATTTGTGATACATTTTTGCAAAAATTAGCATCAAGATGTCCGGTATTAGCAATAAAATTCACATAAGAGAAATGATGATAAATGAATATATCCCATATGGATCTTGGACTTGATGATGAATTAATGAAGTGAGAATCGAATCTTGGTCATAAATATGAAGTAATGTATCTTGTGTAAGCTTATGGTCAGGATGATAAAGAAGCAACTGGTTGTAAATGTCCATTATAAATTGTATGAATTTTTGTTGAATACTTTTCCTTCATTTCTACCTAAAAAAAAATAAAGAAAAATTCCCAAATTTTAAATATGCAATATTTTACATAAATTATTTATTTTGTTCGTATTGAGTTCATATGAGAAAAAACATACATTAATTTAATGTGTAAGAAAAGAATAAAAAAAGGAAACTATAATAATGCATTAAATTAATTTATTTCCATTTGGTTACCAATCTTTTCTGCATTTTCATATAAATTATTTCAAAATTACAAGCATATTTCTAATAAAAAATGAGATAAAATATGTAAACACATAAGTCATAATATTTGCTACAAAAGTTACATAAAATAAAAGAAAACAATATTAACAAAATAACAATTAGAAAAATAACAAAGAAAAAATATAATAATAAATAAAAGAAGGTTAAAAATGTCTTAGTGTTAAACAAAATATTAAAAATAAATAACACAATTTTTTTATAAATAGAAATTTAGGAAATATACTAATTTTTCTTTATATGGAAAATACTACAAAATTTCATTCTTGAAAAGGATTTTGTAATAATTTTGTTGAAATTTGAAATTATAAAAATCATCATTTTCTGCTTATTTAAAAATCTTAAATCAAGAAAATAAAAACCTTCAAGGTATTATTGGATTTTAAATATATTAAGCATTATATATTAAAGAATATATTAAGATTTCGTAAAAAAAATATTAATATGCAGAAAGTAAAGTTAGGCTGTGAAAGGTTAACTTGTATTACTTCTAAATGCTTGTTATCTTCCTTTGGTGACACTTTCATGGTTTTAAAATACAGCTTTCGGACAAAGGGGCTAAAATACTCAGGGCTAACATCTGTTGGTTCTATAAATAAATCTGAAAAAAAAATTTATTTTAGTGCCATTACTTGAAATCTAGAGATGTCGTATTTAGTTTTAAAGCCTAAGGACAATTGCAACTTTCCAGAACAAATCTTTTTTTTTTTTTTTTTTTTTTTTTNTTTTTTTTTTTTTTTTTTTTTTTTTTTTTTTTTTTTTTTTTTTTTTTCTGAAACTGCGTGTAAAAATATGTTTAAATGATTTTTCAAAAATTAAAAGTTATTGAGGATATGGAGTTATATTAAGTGCATCGTTTTAAAATCTATAAACATTTTTTGCATTTTTCAGCTTGGTAACATCGATATCCCAGGAACTTTTTTAAAGTTATATTTTTTTACTATATGTTTATAGGAAATCGAATTCTCCGATATGAAATTTATAAAGAATTTCGTTATTAAAATCGACTTACGATAAAATATATATTGTTGTTACTTATGCCACTAGCTAATAAGCTAATAGTCCCGCAGTGGACTGATCGTTAAGACACGGTTCCCATCAGATCACCGAAGTCAAGCATCACTGGCTGCGGTCAGTGTGCGGGTGGGTGACCACTTGGATCAGTCTGCGTAGGAACCGAGGGTGTGCGGTATTGGTCCTCGTTAAACTGTACTACCGTAAAGTGCTCGACTTCGCTTGCAGGTCGTCGGGCTACCGAAGCGGGGGTGTCATCCCCTCTGCAGAGGATCAAAATTGTGATGGCATGTCTTCGGATCATCCTCAGGGATGCTTCCCAGACCGTCGCCAATAGCCCATTGTGCTGCTCTAGTGCGACGTAAATGAACAAAAACAGCTGATAAGCAGGCCTGCTTGTAATCAAATCAATTTTAAAGGTAGAGGGTGAGTTTATCGTTTTTTCAGAAGCGCCATCTATGGCCAAGAATACGACATCAGCCACACACACGTCACAGCCCGTTTAATAGGAAGGACGCAATTATACTCCATCCATTCATCCATAGATCGTAATTTTGACGTGAAATAGAGAATGATAAATCTCCAATTCAGTACCCCAAAAGGTATTGATCGAATATGTGAATTTGGAGGACTTTGTGACCCTGACAGATTTAATATGCAACAGTCACCATTTAACACACGGGGATTATCGGGCCGGTCGGATTTGAACTCCCATTTTCACGAACACGAATCCAACCAGGCAAATAAATTCTCAGTCTAATATAAAATATATATTATCTAAATGAGTATCTCTAAGAGGGATTTCCTAGAAGACGTTTTTCGAATTACAAGATTTTATTAAAAGATTTAAAGATTAAAAGAAACTCCTTATAGGACCGCTTTAACTCTTGTAAAGTTCAAATTTCTAGAACTCATTTTCAGGCATAATTATAGGAATTAAAAAATTTTCAGCTTTTATCTAAAACTTTTTATAAAGGTTAAGGCCATAAAAATATTACTTGCGTAAATATAATGCATCTCCGATCTTTTAAATAAAGTTTAATATGAAACAAAAAGAAACATCAATATTTGTTTACTACAATAAGGAAGAGAACTACAACTGGGAACAACATTTAACTAATTTAGACGGCAGCAACAAATGCGTTCATGGGTTTAAAAGAAAAATAATTATACTTCTAAGTAAAAAGAAAAAAAACTACACTTCTCAATCATGGATTTTTTAAAACTTCGTTCTTTATTTAATTTGATTCAGCGTAAAAATGTTCATAAAAAATTGTATTTCTTATGAATTACACATACTAAAACTTTCTTAACTTATTGTTTTTAGGGTCATTTTATTCAGCTTAAGAAAGAATATATCTTCTCTAAAGAATATATCTAACAGCCTTTTAGTTCCTGTCTTTGCCTTCCTCCTCTTCTAACGTCCAAAATGTCCTTCCCAAAATCCAAAATGACAGTTAGCAAATCAAAGATATATTCATATTATAAATTCGTGTATTTACTTATTGTATTACGTGAACATTAAACTTCCATACCAACTTTAACCCACAACTTGAATATTTATATCTTTACAAACATCTACGATGATCAAAAGGATAAAACGGTTTATGTCAATAAAAACTGAGTTTCAAAGTTTGAGATATTACAGGAGCAAGCATTCGACAGAAATCAGGGAAATAAATGAATACGAATGTCACAGATGATTTTTACATCCCCTAAAAAGGAGACTTTCAAAATAAGATTTACAATTTTTGATACTGAAAAAGAATTAGAATTTGTAAATCGGGTTGCACCAGAACGATTTTTTTCTCAAAATCCCCGCTCAATCAATACTTCCTTACTAGTACTGCCTTACTTACTGCTTTCCACTTCACTTTTCTTCCCTCTTCTTGTCTGAGCAGAAACCGTTTTCCCCCCTGAACTGCTCATCTTTACTGAGTAATAACTGTCGGGGAGTGATTTTCTAGAAGTAACTGATCTAGAAGTAACTTAGAGTAAATGATTTCACATTTTTATTAATTTGTCAAATATTATGAATTCTCAAAGTGCAAGAGATGGCGATCCAATTGTCATTTTTTTTTAAATGGACACAACCGTTTTTTCCTTTTAATCTTCATTATTTTTTTAAAATCAGATGGGGAAAGATTTATGATTGACATACTTATCACAAAGCTCGCAATGTAACCAACTATAACGACTGCCATTGCACCAATCATAGAAAACCACAAAAAAGACATCTTATATGCTGGAAAGATGTACCTTGAAAAAATTAAAATATATTGAGAATTATTTATCAGCAAAAATATTTACATTTGGAGGAAAAATATACATGATTAAAACAAACTCTTAAAAATCTTCGGCCCTTTTTATGTTCAAATATATGACCACAATATATGACCACATTAGATGAAAATCAGTGTTAAATACAATCTCATACACTCGCCAACTCGTTATCAAATGTAAACAATCAAGGACAATATACAAAGCACGCAAACATTGGAGTTTTCGAAAGCGAAAAAAATTACGCCTCCTTATTGCTTAATTTTATTATTATATTTCCGTATAATTTATAGATTATAGAACGAAACATGACTTGACGCTTTATAATTCTATTTTCTGAACAAAAAAGCAATAAAATGGTAATTTCTTTTTAACCGATCTGATGTCTTTCTCATTACACCAAAAAGAAACTCGGAATAACTTTTCTTTTCTTTAATACGATTTATCTTTATTTTTCGTTGTAATTTAATTAAAGTAATAAAAAAAAAACTATTGCTTTTATTCATATATATTCTTGCAATTTTTTTTAAATATTTTACTAGTCTTATATTTTTTTAATTCTTCAATAATTCATTGAAGAATTAAAAAATTCTAACAATTTAATTTTTATAATACAAAAGAGCTGTATTTTCAAAATTCGGAAACGATGAAATACTAAAATGCATATTTCATAATTTCTAAGGTAATGATCAATACTAACCTATTGTTTCCAAAAAAGGAAGAATCAATCAAAAGTTTTTTGAAAAACTATTTCCCCGAAATAATGTTTTTGCTAAAAAATCCTTTCGCAATTACGTATGCAACATGTCATTTAATTCCCTCGTGTCTTTTGGTAATTAATGCAAAATGGAGAAAAAATAATGAATTTCTGATAACATTTCTTTAGAATAGTGATTCATTAAAATTAAAAAGAGTTTTAGTTTTAAAGTTGTTTCACAGTATATTTACCTTTATTCATTATATTTACCTTTTACATCATATTTATTCATTATATTTACCTTTATTCGTTTTGAAGTATTATTTTACAGTAGACAAAATAAATATGGTAGTTTTTACTTAAAAATATCTGCGTTTCAACAGTAAATATTAAAATAACAAAGTTTTTAATATTACAACATTGCATTTCTTGTTGTTTTGAATATTTTTAATACGTGCAATTTTTCAAAATAAATTCAAGCACATTTAGGTACACTAAGAAAGCATATTTTTCATTCTAAAAGAAAAGAAAATTTGATCTAAAGTCAAATTTTGTTTGGTGCGGCTTCTTTGGAGTAGTGTAAGAGAACATTCTATAGCGGCTAATCGGCTTTTATAGTGGTTAGGGAGCTGACCATAAGGCAGAAAGGTCCCGAGTTCCCGGATAAGTCATATATGTCCCTTACTTCTCTTCTCTGTACTAGCTGACCTTCTGACTGAGGGAGCAATATTGGCTCACTTAATGTGGTGTCCATGACAGAGTGGTCAACAAATTTGCCTTTTTGATACCCGAATGACGTAAGTCAATATCCGTGTGGGTATCAGAAAGAAGTATTCTAGGGGTTTAACTGCACCAGTAGATATCTTTAGGTTTTGCATAATGGAACACCAGTTTGGTAAAAGTAGTTGTCTCCCTTTTTGGCGTTGAGATACACGGAAATTTTTCACATTATGCGAATAGGTTTAATATGGTCTAAGAAAACAAATAAAAACAGAGAAAAAAACTCAATTTGGAAAAAGAGATACTTGTTTAATTTTTTCTTGTTTTATTACAGTTTTGTCAATTATTATGTATAGATAGATTAACTAAGTTGCTTAAGATTTTTATTGAACGTTAGAGTGACTATTTAGGTTTATCAATGTGAAAGAGATTTATCCAGAAGCTAAAAATTCCTAAACATTTTGTTTTGATTCATAAACATTTGGCTGTTATAAGATGCAGCTCTTTAAGAGTCCGTTGAATTTAGCAGCATATTTAGTACTTTTCCTTCTTGTTCTTGGTAGTTCTGAAACTTTCTTTGAGACTACCTCTGAGTATGATTGAGTCCAGGCTAGAGCATTCTGTTACATATTCTATGAATGCGAAATATGTTACTCGTGTTTTTTTTGTAAATCTCACGTTACTGGAGTATTTTTAAATGCACTGACTTCATCAAGATTTAGGTAGGCAATTTTTCTCTGTAAAGAAATCGAACTTTAATCTTGTTTCAATCAAGTTCAATCGCAATTGACAAAAAATAAGTTCGTGTCCAATTTCGTGAAGTTAGAGAAAGGGTAAATTTGCATGGAAAAAACCGTAAAAATGGTTCATCTGGTTAATGACGACATTTTGCTAAAAATTACGCAGTCATGCAGTGATTATTTGGGAAACTTTCGCGTTTTTCCCATTTTCTGTTGATTTTTAGCACATTCTACAGGGCCTTAGACATAGGTTAAACTTTTACACTCCCTATTAATATTTAAACAATTTTCAACAACATTAAATTAAAATGTCATATTTAACATTTATTTTATAACTATTCATTTCATATACATTTTATTCTATTAACATGTGCATTCAAATTTAATTTATGTCATTGTCATTTCTTTAAATAAATACGAATAATAAATACGATATAAATTTTCCTACCTTCGAAAGCGTAAGCTTAAATATCATCAGCCTAGAAACCTAGGATGGCTGTAAACCTAACCAATAATAATATCTAAGTGTAACCGCTGAATTATCATTGATATTCAGCAATTTTATTATAAAGATTTTGAGTTTCAGCCATTGTCATGAAGAATAATATTTATAAAATCTACAAATGTAATACCTTTCTTCTTCTTCCAATAGACTAAGAGCTTCTACATTATTGCTGATATTTAAATTCAATAAACTGTTCTGGGTATAAGATATATTTGGAATCAAAGTTGTATTCATGTATGGACACCCTTCTGTGCTTTGAACCAGCTTTGGTACTTTTGCTTGATTGGCGTATGATCCAAATCCAAGCCACGCATTCACAGTAAATCCAACAAGCATTCCTAATAGAGTTCCCTAAAAATAATTGAAATTGTTAAATATATAAATAAAAACAATTATATTTTCGTTAATTGAAAGCTAGATAGCTGAATATTAAATTTATACCCATGATATTTAACTAGAAATAAGGTATGAGCTGAGTGCTACACGTTACACATCACCAGACCATATGAACACCTACCCCCTTTTTTATTGCTCTGTCTTTTAGCGGCAATGGTAGGAATGCCACGTAATTTTGAACACGGTCAGAAGACGTGGACAACTTCTGATCTTGTCTTCAAACTACATCAACACATATACATTATATTTTCGTTAATTGAAAGCGAGATAACTGAATATTAAATATATACCCATGATATTTAACTAGAAATAAGGTATGAGCTGAGTGCTACACGTTACACATCACCAGACCATATGGCCGAACACCTACCTCCTTTTTTATTGCTCTGTCCATAAGCGGCAATGGTAGGAATGCCACGTAATTTTGTACACGGTCAGAAGACGTGGACAACTTCTGATCTTGTTTTCAAACTACATCAAGACATATACATTATATTTTCGTTAATTGAAAGCGAGATAACTGAATATTAAATATATACCCATGATATTTAACTAGAAATAAGGTATGAGCTGAGTGCTACACGTTACACATCACCAGACCATATGGCCGAACACCAACCTCCTTTTTTATTGCTCTGTCCATTAGCGGCAATGGTAGGAATGCCACGTAATTTTGAACACGGTCAGAAGACGTGGACAACTTCTGATCTTGTCTTCAAACTACATCAACACATATACATTATATTTTCGTTAATTGAAAGCGAGATAACTGAATATTAAATATATACCCATGATATTTAACTTGAAATAAGGTATGTGCTGAGTGCTACACGTTACACACACCAGACCATTTGGCCGAACACCTACCCCCTTTTTTATTGCTCTGTCCTTTAGAGGCAATAGTAGGAATGCCACGTAATTTTGAACCCGGTCAGAAGACGTGGACAACGCCTGATCTTCTCTTCAAACTACATCAACACAACCAATGAGAATACTTTTACACAGGTCGGTTGTTTAATACACTATCTGACCATTAATGACCGGACACCCCTCATTTCGGATACATGAGGTGCTAGTATCAAGTCAGTAGGGCGTAGAGCCGCTACGCGCCCAAATCGCAGCTTTAACCCTTCTAGGAAGGCTATCCACTAGGTGTTGGTACACGGCGGACTATAACGACTTCCTCTCTACCAGTGCATTAAGTGACGCCTTTATCGATTATGCGGCCAGGTCATACTCTATGTGCCTCATAATTGAGAGACTGTTTAAAAAATTCATTTATTTATTTTAACTGTTATTTATAATGGCAAGAATAAAAGACAACTATATCAACAAATATTGAGAACCATATATGGAAGAAACATGGAGAAGAACAATCATAGAGAACAAGAAATGCAGTATTAGCGATAATCTATGAATCAAAAAGGCCCCTGGCTTCCCAGTAGAGGCCCATGAGGGTACTTTTATCTAAATCTCGACATAGGATAAGATGGGCGCCATCCATAGCCTATCCCAGCTTATTGAGACTGCAGATAGGATTTGTAACTATACGAAACGGTGTAAGTATATCGAGAAACAATCATAGTCAGTGACAAACATAAACCTGGCCGCAATTTTTTTGTCTTGGTCATTTTAAGACGGCAGATAATTTGTCTTTATAAGACTTTTAAATTGTTCCAACAGAAAGGTTCTTTTCAAACTCCTCAGATACGGTACTTTTATTAATCTTTTTTTTTCTGGTTCAAAAGATACGCTGGAAAGAAATGTTTGTAGAGTGAAGGCCAGTGAATCAACAATCTTATTGCCATGGATTCAACATTTTCTAGGGATCCACTAAGCTTTGCAACAGTCTCAGACATTCAGGAACCACTAGGGACTTGAAGTTGACATCAGAGATTGCAATGTGGGCTGAGAATCACTAAGTATGACAGCTTTGGAGAAAATAGTTAAGTTGCAAGTCAGCTAAGAAAGAGCAATTCTATCGCCAGCAATTATCCATTACATCAGCTGAGTTTGCCAATGAAAAAAAATAGAGACACTTGACCCTCTCTCCGGCGTTGGGTCCCCTTAATCGTCCTTTTTTAAATTAGAGACTAACTGAAGGAAATAAAAATTTTCAGTTCACTGTATTCTTCCAAAAAGATTACATAGTTTTAGTTTCATCAAGTTTCAAATGCAAAGATATCTTTGAAAAATGGGGTTACCGACAAAACAAACCTATAAAACAAACCTATAAAACAATGTTCTCCACCAGAAGATTCAAACAGAACAGAAATATTTGCACAGGTGTTGTACCCTTTGCATGGGTTAAAAAGAGCAATAATAGAAACTTAAGCAACATTTATCTTTGTGTATAAATATTGAATTGTTTTTTATGAAAGCAATAAAGAAAAAAAGGTATAATAGGTTTGTTTCAAACGAACTTACTTTTTCATTGGCTGTCTTGCTGAACATACCCAGCATGTAAATACCTAAGACGGGTCCACCAACCATCCCGAACATAATATTGGACGCTTCTAACACTCCTCTGAAGTTTGCAACTATAAAAGTCAGTAAAAGACACAGTCCTCCATAGCCAACAGCTGTTGAGGAAAAATTGAAAATCACCATATATGCTTATAGTTAATGACCAATATGCACGTAGAATATTAGAGAATAGGATTAAAATAAAGGTACATTATTTCAGAAAAGATTAAAAAAACAGTAAAACAAATTATTAGATAACCGGGTAAAATGACGACAAAACAAAAATGAATGCGGAATATTAAGGAATGGAATAAGGAAAAGTCCAAAAGCATTAAAATGCATGCAGGACATTAAGAAATAGAATAAAGAGAACAATGAGACTATTGAAATTCGCACAGAATGTTGGAGTACAAAATGGAAAAGATAATACAATAATTATACATGCAGAATAATAGAGAGCCATATAAAGGTAAGAATAAAACCGATAAAAGGAAAGAATATGATTGAAAAAATGATCGGATGATTAAAATGCATGAATATTATGTAGAAAGAGAATAAAAAGATCAATGAAAAGATGAAATTATTAGGGTATTGGGTAAAAAGCACGACCGAATGATTAAAATGCATGCAGAATATTAATGAATAAAAAAAAGAGAACGACTGAAAAGCATTAAAATACATGCATGATATTTAAAAATAAAGAGAATGAAAATTGCGTTAAAAATAAAATAATGAAACTATTAAAATACATGCAGAATATTGAAGAGTAAAATAAGAACGATAATGCACTTAACATACATGCAGAATTTTAAAGAATCAAACAAAGGTAAATAGAAAACCTATAATGTGATTAAATTGCGAGCAGAATCTTAGGAATTTAAATGAAGAAAACGATACAACGATTGTAATGCATGCAGAATATTAAGGATCCAAATATGGTGAAACGATGAAAATCTAATATTATGCAGGGTCAACACTAAGCATTCGTCACCTCGCCAAATGCGAAAAAATCGTAAATTTGGCGAAAAAAGTGTGTGTGTTTCCCTAAGTATTGGAGAGTGGTTTATTTCACGTGAAAGAAAAATATTTTTAAAAATTTTTAAGATTTGCATTTGGCGAAATCTTTCAAAAATTGGAGAATACTTTTGGTATTAGGTTAATTTACTAGCTAATAATTTGAAATCCTTAACACGGGTCCTCATTATGGGATAAAATAAATAAAAAATCGCCAAGTGAAAGGTGGTTTTTGAGCTAGTTTCTCTTATAAAAATATTGTTATATCTAATATAAGATGATTAATTAAGATATTGAGTAAAAATATAGTTAATAACTAAAAATTTCTAAAATAATGCTATTTCTCACCAATGACTTTAGCCAGAAACGCAGCCCAAGATTCAGTTAAGCGTTTGCAAAAGCAGTATGGGCGAATGAAATCCTCCATTGTGACCGCTGTCAGAGAATTAACTGCAGATGAGATTGTACTGAGAGAAGCACTAAATACTCCAGCAATGCAGAGACCAGAAAGACCAGGTATGTGTGAGAACATTTTGATTATTGCATATGGCATCAGCTGCAAAGCAATGTATCATGCATTTTAGAACAGAAAACAAATAATTGTGTCTATGAAAAAAATCAATAATCAAACAAAAATCACATAAAATTTTATATCAATGATTTGTCTTACCAAGAAATGATCTCAGTAGCTGCTAAAAGCATAAAGTTTAAAAGAAAAAGATTGCCATCTAAAGATACATTGTAAAACACGGTTTCTAAAAATTGAGCATAAATGTTTCAGAATAGCTCTGAAGCAAATATTAGTCGAATTTAAAGACCTCCGGCATTCAAAATGGAAACAGCATATACTTATTTTTGAGCAAAATGCATGTGGAGAGAAAAAGGTGTAAGAGAAATGTTCGTTGGCTGCCAGCAAGATACGAACCAAAGTCGTCCGAAGAAACCGTCGTTCGTACAGCGTTGTTAGAGCAGAGTAAGGAATGCGCTACTCTGACCACCATAGTTGCATACCCTATCCCAGGGAGAATTACGAAGCTTTATATAGTGGTCATCGAAATGAAACATCATGACAAACTAATTTCTAATTCCGTCCCGCAGTGGACTGATCGTTAGGACACGATTCCCAGCAGATCACTGAAGTCAAGCATCACTGACTACGGTCAATGTGCGGATGGGTGACCACTTGGATTAGTCTGCGTAGGGACAGAGGGGGCGCGGTGTTGATTCTCGTTAAACTGTTCTACAGTAAAGTGCTCGACTATGCGTGCAGGTCGTCGGGCTTCCGAAGAAGAGGTGCCATCCCCTCTGCAGAGGATCAAAATTGTGATGGCATGTCTTCGGATCATCCTCAGGGATGTTTCCCAGACCGTCGCCAATAGCTCATTGTGCAGCTCTAACGCGACGTAAATGAACTACAACAACAACAAATTTCCAATTCCAATGGTACCATGGGTGGTAGTTTGAAAAATATGGTTCCAATTGCTTAGTCAGAAGATAGTTTTAATATTTCACTTTTTGCTTATTTCGCTATATAAAAAACTTTTATGCGAATGGAATGCATCTTATGACATGCCATTTCGGTGGCCACTATAAAGTTTCCCAACTCTCCCTTGGCTAGGGTGCACAGCTATGGTGGTTAAAACACCCTACTTCAAAGTTAGAGGGTCTTGTTTCGAATTAGCTTGTCACCATCTAGCATTTCTCCCTCCACAAGCATCTTACTAAAAAATGAGTACATGCTGTTACAATTAGAAATACATGGAATTTTCAGGTTTGGCCATTATTCGTTTCGGAGCTATTTTGACACATTTTTGCATCATTTTTTACAATTTTTTATTATAAATGATTTTTCTGAATTTCTTAGCATCATTCTTTGTCAATATAACAACATTTAGATAGGCTTACCTGATCTGGCGATTCCAATTTGGTATTTTCATTTAACATTGGATCACAGTCATGGTAAATGGAATAGATAACAACACCATCCAAAAATGTAAAAACATTGAAAAGTAGAATGAGAGGAAGACTGTAAAACAGTGCCCTAGAAATAAAATTATAATTGATTTTATTCCTAATAAATTTCATAACGTTTCGGGAAAAGAGGGATAAAATATAAAAAAGAAATAATCGCATACATTATTTTAAAATTAGTTCATTTTAGAGCTATTTAATTATATAGCATTTGATTTTCAATGTCAAAAAGAAAAATATTAAAGGACTAATTTAATCTATTTGTGAATGTATATAGAACTAATTCGAACAATACTATAAAATCATTAATGCAACTTTTCTTTACTCTATTACGAGGATCATAAAAGAAAAACAATGGAGAAAATATTATCACAGGAAATATTTTTAATATTGTTAAAATCAAAATACTTCATTTTAATATTATTTGAATAGCGTTGTTCTTAAAATTTAAAATTAAGTCCCTAGATGACTGCTGAAGTTCTTGAAATATGTAATCTATAAAATGAAATATTAGGTTAAAAAAAACTATTTGGTTTAATCGTCCTTGGGACAAAATCTTACTTGAAAAAAATCAAAGCAACAAAATATTGCGGTATAAAGATTATATTAAGAAACAATTGTGTGGCATATATACGAAAACTTGTTCTTGTCTTATTCGGGTATAAAATACTCTGGTATATAATACTCGGGTTATTCGGGTATGTTCGGGTCTTATTCGGGATTTTAAAACTGAAATTAGTTTTCCTCCAAAAGTTGCAGATTTTTTAATGACCTTTCTAGTAGTCTATTTTTTTTGTCTGAATGTCCAAATTTAAAAACGTTATATATTGGAAAGTCGCTAAATGTTGCAATAAACTTTTAGGGGAGCAGTCCCTATTATACTCTGTTCAGAAACACATGAAGAAACAGTTCATAATGGGGAAGCCTTGTGTATGCCTACATCTCCTATGCAAATTTAATCTTGATGATGTGCCATAACTCTTTAAGAAGTTTATTGCAATATTTTCCCAACTCCATGTTCTATATGTAACTGTAAAGTATGAAACGCCGGCATTGTATAGAATTTCTAGGCATTGCCGGATATTTTTAGGCAAGTAGGAAAATGTGAGAAGTATTACATACTTTCCCTATGCATTGTATAAAATGCCTAGGCATTCTATAGAATGTCAAATGCTATTTAGGCAAAGAATGAAATAAACGTCTTGATGAGGTTATTATGTAAATGATGTGCATGTTACTGTGAATGGCCGAAATCGGTGGTTGTTGACTTTCACCGGCGAATGTTGACAATCACATAGTCGCTTTGGTGAATGTCCGAAATATTTATTACATCCGATTTGATATTAATTTATTCATGGATATAATTACATTTATTCGATATTTTTATACTTACTGACTGTAGATTAGAAGAAACATCAGTGTTTGGAGTATCGGGCAAATGTATACCGGACAATGGCACTTGACCTTAAAAAACACCAGTGTCGAGTATACCGGGCAAATGTATACCGGGAAATAGTACTTAACTAGACCTTTGGTAAATGTCCGAAATATATACTAGGTCTAGTGCCACTGCCCGGTTTACATTTGCCCGGTATATCCTACACTGCTGTTTTTTTTAAGGTCAAGTGCCATTGCCCGGTATACATTCGCCCGATACTCCATACACTGATGTTTCTTCTAATCTATCGTCAGTAAGTATTAAAATATCGAATAAATGTAATCTATCGTCAGTAAGTAGTATAAAAATATCGAATAAACGTAATTATATCTACGAATAAATTAATATAAAATCGGATGACGTTTTGAATTTATCATTCTTGAATGACATTTTGACGAATCGGAGATGAATTTTATATTTTGCAGGTTCCTCATTTGGCATTCTATAGAATGCCTGGGCAATGTGTGAAATATAAATCATTTCATATCTTGCCGGCTAATTTTAGACATTCTATACAATGCCGGATTTCATACTTTGCCGGTAACATATATAAGCTATTTAATGGTGTACATTTCGTTAATAAATAAACAAAAAATATAATTTAATAAAAAACTAACACTTTGTAGCTTGGAGAAAGTAACAGTTTGCGGATTTGAAATCAATGATACGAAAGTATCTGAGATCAGTTAAAAACATTCTCAAGCGACAAAAAACAACAGAAAAATGACCTCCAGTGTTATAAATTAATGTATTATTTCATTCCTATATTGTAATGTTTTTCGTTGTTTCTAGAATTTCAAGCGTTCAAGTTTTCAAGTTTCAGGAATTTCAAGTTTTTTTATATTATTAAGTGTTATATTTAATATATATTATGTGATTTTTCAATTTATTGGCATTGTCATATGAGATACACTTTTTTAGTGAGTTAGCTTGCTTTAAATATGGATTACAATTAAAAGTCTTTTGTTGAGAACAAAATCTAAGGGAAGAAAACATACTTTTGTGCTCTTTTAAGATCTCCAACACTGAGCATCCTTTGTATCTGTGCTTGATTAGTCCCAAAAGTATGTAAACTGAAGAGAATGCCAGACAATATAGAATTCCAAAATGTATACCTTTCTGTCAGGTCCGCTGTTGTGCTACAAAATAAATGTTACGTTTTTCCAATTGTTTTTAAAATTTATTTGTGTTATTTCTTTTACATTACTTGCAATGATTAGATTTTTGATTATTGTAGTGAATAATAATTTTGAAACACGTTAAGCTACGCGATTGCACTAATATTTAAATGAATTGCCCAAATATTTAAATGAATTAGACGGAAAGCTTCATGGTTTTGAATTATTATAATTTAGGTGAAGTACTATTTTCCTTTAAATTATAAATTCATAAATTACCTCCAATTTAAAAAATTCTGGATCAAATTACGCTAAAAATCTGGTACTCAGGGTGCTGGTTTTTTTAACCGTAAAATACATCTTTACTGTAACATGTAATGGAGCAAAATATCTGATTTATTATGTTAATTATTATCTGATTTATTATATAAAATCTGATTTAATATACTTGCTTAAAGAGTATGATTTATTGTAATTATTACTGTAAAAATCACGGTATGATATTTCACGGTAAAAATGGTTTTATGGTTTGTACGGATGATGCACCAAAATTGCCGGCACTTGTTCCGGAATTTTTTAATAGTAAACGTGATGCAAAAACAATTTTAACTTATTTTTGTTATTACTTAATCAACAATTAATATTACTATTAATATATAGAATAAGCTCGTTTTCTGCTTTACTTCATCTCATAATTTTATGTTTTGCAATAATTGCAAGCTAAAGATCTTCCTCCTTATAGGATCTTATTCCATGATAATCCAGCAATTCATTCAAAAGTAGTCCAGAGAGTTTATTTATTGTAAGCTTTCTATTTTATAGTAAAATATTTTCTATACTTACTTAAAGAAAATTATTCTTCCTCCTTCATTTGCAATATTATACACTTCACTTATCCCCCCGACAGCTATTACCCCACTCACAACGACTGCCATGATAGTTATGTACATAAGTATCGCTTGAAAGACATCTGTCCACAGAACGGCTTTCAAACCACCCTGAAATCATAGATCATTTTTTTATAATAAAAGCTAATTCTTTTTTTTCAGTTTATTAATAAAAAAATATTATTTAGAACTCATTTCCTACAAATTTTTAAATCAATAATTTAGTTGAATAATTCATTGCAAAATATTAAAATATTTCGTGATAAGTTTTTAAAAAAATCATTGGGGTAAATAATGAATATTTTTTTAATTACGTGAAAATACAACAAACATTATTAACATATTAACATCAAATATTATACAACAAACATCAAATATTACTATATCACTTGGTCCCTCTTTCTATACTGTTCTAGATAACTGTAAATTTTAAAGGAAAAAAACATATTTTTCACAGAAAAAAAAACTGTTCAAAAAAATACAGATTTTTTTAAACATTTACACATTTACCTGTTTTACTTAGTGTCTTCTCATTAGAACAGGAACATTAGAAAATATGACAGTTTTACTTATTTATTCGAAAGCATTTTTATGCGAAATAATATTTTTTTTTATTTGTACTATTTTATAAACTACTATTTATATATTATTCTTGCAATTTGTTTTGCACATGAAATTCTTTCCTTATTAACAGAAGAAACGCTGAAGAAATAAAATGTCCATTTTAAAAATTTAATGCTTTTTTTAAATTACATGCCTATCAAAAAGCTCTCAAATATTTCCCCTTTAAAATTCACTAAGCATTATTATTACACGAGGAAAAATAAGAGTATTTTCAAAGTTACAAAGGTTTAAAATTTTATGTATTTAGGAACAATTTTAATAGAAAAAAATTCAAAATATTTTTATTTTTACTTATTTTATTTTTCCTTTAATTTTTTGGATAAATTTTGTTGTTATAATAATATGAAATAACTTACTAAAGAGCAATAAAATGTACAAACTACAGCAAGAGATATTACAGAGGTCCAGGTTGAAAGCCCAGTTACAGCATTTAGTGCTAAGGATGGAGCATACAATACAACGGCCATGTACAATATCTAAAATTAAAATCTTTTTAATATTAAACTCTTCAAACAATAAATAATACTAATTTAGAAGAATAAGTATTGATGGTAATTTCTGCTTTCCCAGGTAAGTACTAAAACAATTTATTTGGTTTCCTAGTTGTTGCGTGATTTTGTTCACTCGATAGGAAAACAGAATCCTATAGTTGAGATTGAAAAAGATTGAAGACAGGGAAACCTGTCAAGTTGACCTGCTTTGTCAATTACGGTAAAAAGTTATGGTAAATTATGGATCAAATTTCAAATTTTACAGTAAATTTAAATTTTACCGGACCATGCATTTCATCTAACCTGAACCGGTTTGTGAGTATACCATGTACTAAGCAATTGAGGACTTTAGTAAAAAATAGGTTTGTAAGTATAAAATAAACTTAAAAGTATTGTAAAGAATGAAATGTTGATCTTTATAACTGCATATATGTTCTTGTGAATTATGTTTTAAGCAAACATAACAACTGAATTTGTTATCAGCAAATAGTCCAAATTGACTTGCAAAGCAAAGTTGCAAGGGGTAACCTTACACAGAAAAATACTAATATATTCTTTTTGTTAGACCTTATAATATAATCAAAAAAGTGTCTGCTTGCTCTTCTAGTGTCAGCATTGTACTTTGGTCTGGCTTGAAATAATAAAAATATGTTATCATGCATCTATTTACAATGTATAATAACTTAATGTTTTATGCAAAGCTATAAAGTTTTGAAATACTCCAATGAAATATTATACAATGTTTTGAAAGATTCATTTGATTTGTTGAAAGTAATCCAAGCTACTCGACAGCGTCATAATAAGATTATAATAAGCAAATAAGTTTTATTTGCAAAATTATTCAACATTATAATCAACTTACAAGTTTAGAAAATAAAAACTTTAAATGACTTCCAGCTAAGGCTTTAGCTACCAAATATCAAAGATACAATATATTATGGCTAAAGGTAAAACATGACCGTGTTGTACCATGAACTAATTTTCGTAACTTAAAAAAATATGAAGTGTTTTAATTTATTAAGATTCATTACATTTATTAAAACTATCGCACTCTACTTGAAAGAGTCATTAAAAAGTAAGTTTTGATTGCATGAATATTCAAACTAAATCAACTTACAAGTTAAAAACGACGAAACTCAAAACGGCGGCCATGCAATGTCTTAACTACAAATTATCTAATGCACAACAGATAGTGGTCAAAAGTAAAGCACGACCGTGTCGTACCTTGGAAGGATTTTATTTACTTAAAAAATCTGAAGCTTTGGGCATAATTAGTGCGAGAAAAATTTATATAATAAACAATAATACAGTGTATTTCTGATAAAATTTAGAAAAGTATTTGAGTGATTACATTCCGAATAGGAAGAAAAATAAAATAAAAATGGAGGTACAGCACTTTCTCCAATTTAAAATAAATGTAGTAAATTTAAATTTGTTTACTCTCACTACATAATTTCAATTAGAAGGCTTAAATCATTTGAAACTAATGACTTGATATTTTTGAAATATTACTATTTGCTTTAAGAACACTTGTCGTTCATTCTGAATAAAAGCAACAAATACAATTTTTTTTAAACTTCATTTATGAAAATAATTAAGAATTTGAATGTCAATGTAAAATTATTTCCTGAAATAGGATTAACATTCATTAATTATCTAAAATAGTATTAAAATCCATTCATTAAAGAGTATTAAAATTCATTAATCATATTAATTTTGTTAAAATTAAGTATTCTTAATTTGAAAAATCTTATAAAAAGCATAAAACTGGTTCAAAAATAGCTTTTACACTCTTCCATATTGTAAAAGTCGTCGTAATTATTTCAAATAAAACAAACTGAAATCTTTAATAATCGTTTTTCGTGCTACATAGATTTTTTTTACTTATCTTCTCTGCATTACGAATAATTGAGAAATAAGTGTAATCATGATAATACATGAAATCCCAACTGCTGACATACTCGAATAAATGTTAATATTTCTTTTATCTGAAAACTCTAATCTTTGCAGTTAATTAAACTGTTTATTTTGAAACATTATCTCTTTAATGATTTACAACATCCACTTCAAGTAACTTGCAGAGCGTGTTTATTTTATAAATATTTAGGCTCTTTTGACAACATAGTTATGTAATTCAGAAAGTAATTTTTGGTTATTTCTAGTAGTGCCCTTTAGTCGCACATTAAAACTGCTCCAAAATTTCAATGTGATAAAATCTTGTATTTAATATTTTTTTTAAATGATAAAGAGTAAAATATGCGTACTAGTTCCTTGCATTATTTGATTAGAAATTTTTCAAACATCAATTGAGGTCATAAAAAGAACAAGAAACATTCATTTCTTTTATTTTTCTCTACTTGGTGCAAACTTGAGAATATTTCTTAACATAATAAGAAAATAGTTTAAAAACACTTAACAATTCAAATGGTTCTATATTCTTCATACAATTTTCTGTCCAAAAAGTTTTATTCGAGGTTAAGGCAACGTGTTTTTTTTTCTTTCTAGACGAAATAATCTTCAAAAGACTAATCACTTCTCATTTTGTATATATAAATGCTTTCATTTTCAAGAATAGAAATAAAAAAATGAAACTATCAAAAGGAGTCTAAGTCTTCTTCAATCAAATGTTTTATTTGTTCGGTAACTAAATTGTTAATTTTATGAGATAACAAATGTCTTTTGTATCATTAATTGATGAAAATCGAACAATGCTCTTTTCTTAAATTTATTTATTTTGAATTATTTCCTTACTTTTTTAAATTCATAATGAATTATTAATACAAATTTATACTCTCTCTAATACTATTATATTCATAATTTGACGCATAATTAATTATAACTCACCATTTGAATTGTAAACAACAAGGAAGCAATTGTTCTGGTTGTTTTGCCAAATCGTTTCTCTAAATACTGAAAAATGGAAAACAATTGTACTTTGTTATAATCACAGATATTTCATTATATTCCATAATACTTTTGAAACATAAATTGGGTTCAATATATTGTAAATATTTTAATATATATTAAACACTCTTGTTTCCTTTGTTTCATTTTGTTTAAGTTCAAAAGATATCTTGCTAAATTTTCAAATTTTTTAAATAAAAATTTCTAGCATGACAAGATGCATTACTCTATTGATATGTATCAAAAGAATAACTTAACTTTACAAGTCTCTTAACAACAACACTGTGACACAATAACCCCTTTACATTTTTAAAGCATGCCTGTGCTGCTCTGTTGCTGTGACGCTACACTGTTAAACAATAATTCAATTACAATTCTAAACTAGCCCCTTGAGGCTATGTAGCCCATTTATGTAAAATTAGATAGTTATAATATTAAAATGCCACTTAAAGATTGCATGCTTATTTGATATGTATAGAGTTAACATCTTAAGGATGCTAACCAAGAAATGCACCAAATAAAACATAAATTTTGATATAAATTGTCTAGAAATAAGGAACTAAGTTTAAACATATCGTTTATTTTGGAATCACGTGAATAGTTCGGTTATTATTAATTATTTTATTAAAAAAAAGAGTTTAATCATTTTCCGCACAGGAAAAAAATGCAACGGAATGAGCATGCATCTTTCATTCAAGATCCCACCTGATTGTAACAGGTGATCAACATATTTTTCAAGTCAGATATTTTGTTTACTTTCTTACTTATTAGAACTTATTACTACTTACTTATTGTTACTTTCTTACTTATTACTAATTTACTTACTTATTAGAAGTTTTTTTTCTTACTTTTTTGAAATTACTCTTAGAATTTTTATGTATGCTTTTTTTGTTAAGCTCCGTTTAATATCCATAAATTTAATCTGTGTTATTTTTTAACTGCTAATTTTTTTAATTAAAAAAAATACCTTTTACTTGATATATCTAAGGTATTTCGTGTCAGTGAAAACACTTTTTTTAAAAGCTTTGCTAAGCGTTCGTAAAATGACATTTTACTTTAAAAAATTGAGCAGCATATTAAAAATTATCAGGATGATCAACGTCATATCCATATATCACAAAGAAATATACGATCATATCTTTGACAATTTCTGGAGGAAACTGGTTAAACACAAACGAAATATTTATAACAGTAAAATATTTTCATATCTGTTGCTGCTGAATAACAGAGTTTGTTTATTCAATCATTCGACATATTACCAATCACGTATTCAAAATTTATTTCCTCATTTTGGATTATATTAGACTTGAAGTTAAAAATTACTGAATGAATGATTTAAATACCGTATTGATTTTGATTTTATTAGCAAGGATTATGTTTTTTTCTCAGATTTTTCATCGCGTAAATTTTAACTGACTTTCTTCCATATGTACAATTTTATTAGCATTTGCTTTTACAAACTTTTGTTTTCATTCACTTATTTAATTCTATTTAATTATGTATTGTGCAAGGTATGACTTAAAATGTCTTTTTCCAACTGAAAAATATGTCAATAATTAATCACTATTTCAAAAAAAACATTAAAATTTGGTTATTATTCTTTTAAAAAAATAAAATCTTTAAATAAATAAACGAAAAAAAAAATAAAACGGAATTTTCGAGGAATACTTTTACTAATTATTTAGCATAAATTAATCTTAATAATTGAAATGAAAAATTATTTAAGTTTTTTTTTGCATTATTAGTGGACATTAAAAATACAATAATAGTAATAATATAAGTTAAAATTCTTAAATTATTATTCAATTTTAAGGAAAATAATGTCAAAAATGTTAATACTTTTAGATAGTAAATGAATGTCAAATATGGCATTTTTTAATTAAAATGATTTATATTTTTAAATTACTTATTTCGCATTAAAAAATTTAATTTATAGACTAAAACTATGTTTACTACTAATGCTTTCAGTCAAAAGAAAATGACTCACCTTGACTTGTAAAGATTATATAACAAGAATCCCTTTTTTGTGAAGATCATGTATATATTTTACGGAAGGATGTAATTAAGTAAGGGTTAATGTATTCATGATTATGATTATAAAGAGCACAATGTAATTGTGTAAGGGTTAATGTATTCATGATTATGGTTATAATGGGTACGATGAAAATACAACAACGCTAACTCAACAATTTAGTTTCATTAACTCGTTTCTGGAATTCAGCATGACCTTCTTAATATAACTTCGCAGATGAAACCTATTTAGAGATCACTGTTCATCGAACTTTTGTTCAAGCTTTATTTTTTTTTTTTTTTAAATAAACTCTGTTGACTATTTTAGTCTTACTTTTATGAATGAATTTTCAGAAGATACAGAAACTACAAATGTAGGTAACTATTGCAATACATAATGGCATATCATTATAACATCAATCAATTTGAATACACATGAAATAAAGCTGCAAGTGGCATGAATACTTTACATGAATACTTGTGACATGAATACATGTGACATAACTACATGTGACTCAAGGGTTACATTTAACTCGAAGTAAATTATATAAAGAAAGTATACATAGGCTAAATTTTTAATATGACAGCTTATCGTTCAATTCAATGGAAACAAGTAGTGAAATAAACTTTTTTTGCTAAAAGGCTCCACCCTCTATTCGCTTCGTTCACTAGCCCCCGCAATTACTTCTCATTCACCATTGAAGATCAAAGGAGAAGAACTGTTAACGTTCATTTCTTACAAAAATTAGGATAGGATTGTCATCTGTTATATTTTGAAAATCATCAAATTTCTGAAAACCAATAACGTGGAAAATTGGTCACCCCCGAGAGTTATTATTTTCCTGCAAAGATTGACCGGGTTGTTGAAAAATAGTTCCTGTTTGTGCACAATTTTTTTCTTTCTTGGAATCATCTTTCATGGACATAAGCCGGTCTTCCACTCTTGATATTTTTAAAAGTGGTTCTTCTATGAGATCAATAAGAAGAACATTTTGCTTATAAAATATATAATTATTAAATTCTTATGGAAGCATAATTTATTAATATGATAATCGTAACTAAGTAAAATGATAAATGGATTTGAAAAAAAATCAAATGTACTTGGAAAAAAATTTAACTTAAGAATACAGAAAAGGCGACACAATAAGAAGTAATAAATGAGAATTAACTTTGTTTGTTAGCATTAAGTAACTTCTTTTTACATTAGCATGACAGCCCTTTGTGGGCTAGAGCCATCCCTAGAACTTTCCTCTATTCTGCTTTAAATAATAATTATCTATAGCCTTGGAAACATTGGAAACAGTTTTATCTCTCAGTGTTCATATTTTTAAAAATTTTGATACAAATGTTATCATTTAAATCACGCACCATCTGATTTCCACATTATTTTTTTTAATTATTCATTTTTTTAAGCTTTTGACACAAAATCAAGCGCTATCATATAAAATCACAAGCGAGTTAAATTTTTTTATAACAAAGGATAAATATTTATTATTTAAAGAAGAAGACGCAGAAAAATTGCTATAACTTTCAAACAAATAGGAATTTTGAAAAAAAAATCAGTCGTTAAGTTTATGATTAAAAAAGGTCCTATCACACTGAGAAAAGGAAGTATGGTCAAAAGTACCAGAATATTTGTTTTTTTGCTACATAGGAAAACCAAAAAGATCAGTAATTTTGACTGAAGTGCTTTGGTAATGATTTTTGTAAAATTAAAAACAAAATACAGTTTTAATAATAGATGATAAAATTTCATAAATGTAGTAAGATTTTATAATTTGATATTAATAGTTAGAGCACAGCATAAAAACTATTTATTTTGTTAAATTCAGTTTTCAGTTTTGGTATTTTTTACTGGCTCTATAGGAATCCAAAAGGCTCGGTAATTTTTAACAATGCTCTTTGGTAATGGTTTTGGTAAAATTAACAGTAAAATATTGTTTCAAAAGTTTTTTTATTAAATGTGAGGTAATGAGAACTATAATTTTGAATACCAGAATATGCGGTAAAACGTCACTATATGAACGGAAAAATTGCCAAATGTGTGGTTTAAATACCACATATTTGTTTCTATTAACTATAATTATGCTTTTTTTTCCCTGAAATATCATACCATGCAGTACAGTAATTTTATCAGTGTTTTTTTCGGTTCAATACGTCAAATTTCAACTCTGCACTTGTATTTCAGCCAAAAGTATATCGACCAACATGTTAATAATTCTGGAATCATTAATCGTAAATTTTTTATTCAATCGAACTCCTATATACCTTCATAATTTCAAGTATCAAAATTTTAGAAATTTCAGAGCAGCAAAGCAAAATGTATCGAAATCAAAAAAAATTAGGAAAAAATTGCAATAAAGTGTCTAAAATTGCAATAATTTTCAAACAAATTTAAATTTCGAATTAAAACTCCGTGCTAAATGTATAAACAAATATGGCCTTTTCATCATGCCAAATTTCAGCTCTTTCTGCTCTGCATTCCTACAGCCTGTACAGTGGCCCGTATAAAATTTTAATAGTTAATAACTCTCAAACTAATTTTTAAATTTAATTTTTTTATTCCATTGTAATTGCTGTACACTGTTCTACACATCTTAGTAATTTCAAGTTTCTAAATTTTGTAGTTTTTAGCATCAAAACAAAAGATAATGTTAAGTTGAACACCAAAAAGCACCATCAGCGCAGTCTCATACGATTTATTACGAGTTCATACGATTTTTAATATAAAGAAAAAACTTGTGACTTGCCATAGAAAGTCATTCTAGTAATTGAAAAATACGAAATTAAACATTACGGAATCTCTTTGTGGAGGTTTATGTAGCGTGAAGCTAACAATTGAACTATTAAAAAAATGAAACTACTTGGAAACAACTTTTTTTCTGTATCATAAAATTGCAAGGGCCGGCACAATTGGCTCACAGAAACTATGAAACTTGAAAGCTATAAATTTTAAGATATGTTGAAAAATTCTATAAGGATTTCGAGGAAATAAAAAAAATTATTTTCGGTTTGGTAAATAGTTCGAGAGTTATTAATTATTAAACTTCTAGTAATAATAAGCTATGCTGGCCAACTGCCCTCTGAAATGCAACTGAGTAGAAATTTGACGTAATGATAGAACCATTTTGAATTTTAAAATAAACGAGAGTTTTTTTTCTCTATTCCATAGTGTTTAAAAATTATTGCAATCCTTTTCTTCAAGCAATAATTTTTTCCTCATTGTGGTAGAAAAATGTATCCCTTTCGCGATTTTCATTTTATAATTTTGCGCTCAACTTCATGTCATAAGTAACAAAAAAATGAATAAATAAAAAATATTATAGAGAGAGATATTAGATCTTGTGTATATAAATATTAATATTTATAGAACAATTCTTAAAAATACAAAGATTAAAGAGAGAAAAAAACTGTTTCCAATGCGAACTGTTACATCATATAAAGATTATCATTTATATTATTTATGAATTAACTTCTCCTTTATTACTTCTTTTATTGTGTTGCACATTGTACATTTATATGCTTAATTTTTTTCACGTACATTGCGTACTCCGCATTTCATGCTGATTATTTTTCAAATCCAGATAAACCGTCATTTCGTTGCGTTTAGCATATTAATAAAGTGTAGTAATGTAATTAGATTAGTTATGAATTTTATAAACAAAATAAATCTTTTTTTATAGTCTTTTAAGAAGAAAAACAGTGATGAATGAGAACAAGTCACGCTGGTCGGTGAACTGAGCTTATTAGGATGCGGAGCCTCCAAGTTCTATTAAAACACTCATAGAACAAACTAACGTTATAAATTGACTAATTATTATAACATGTCTTTAATTTATATAATTTGAGTGTTTTTGAAACTCTGCTTAACATGTTTCTCCACTCTAACTTTCCGAAACCAATACTGAGATATTTAAACGCATAGTAAAAGTACCATTTATTACGCATAAATTCCATTTATCATTCAGATTTTAAGGACTTAAAAAAAGATCATACTCAGGGATGTTTCCCAGACCGTCGCCAATAGCCCACTGTACAGATCTAGTGCGGTGAAAATGAACTACAACAACAACAGCAATCAAAAAGGTGATCAAACATTTATCATTATGTATTGCTTAAAGTTCAATCTATAGTTTTTTGTTATCTCCCACAAATAAACGCTTTTTAAGTTATTGTAGTTTAGTTTCCAAAAACAGTATAATTGTTTTTCTATTAAATTTTCTTAATATCGAAATAAAAAAAGGTTGTTTTATATTTTTTTCAAGATAGCTATGCAATTTTCAAGTTAGTGGATGTTTTTTGACAAGCAAAATATTTCTGGAATGCAATGCAATACCTGCATATGAATCAATACAATACAAACTCGCTGCATTTGCTCAGAGGAAAATAATTTTAGTTTCCTCTCATATAAAAATAATAACGAAATCTTAAAAAATAATATTTTTACCTCGTATGCTGTTGAAACGTCCATGTCAAAAAATACAGGCAGGAATCCATAACAAGCAATAACTCCGCCCAATGGCATTCCAAGCATCCATATGAAAAATTGCGTACCGTACAAGTAAGTCTCTGATGGCACGCCCAGCACTGATATCGCAGACATGTATGTTGCCATTAAACTGAAAGCAACCGGAAATATGTGCATATTCTTACCAGCCATCAGAAATTCTTGGGTAGTTTTCTGTCGACCACCGGTGAAACGAAAAAATATACCAACGGATGCTGACACCGCCAACATGAGGGCGATTACAACGTAATCTGTGATTCCAAGTAAAACAGACATAGCTGAAATTGTATTAAGAATAATTAGAAGCAATAAATAACGCAACCAATAAGTAACATGCCTCCCAAACTATATATCTCAAAATGCAGGTTTACAGCTGATGTATTAAATAATGCTGTTAGAGTATTTTTGTAATTAAACCATTTAATTTAATCTTTGACTAGTCATATTTTGCTATTACTCAAATTGTCCCAGTATTTTAATTTTATTGGTGAAAATTATGGCGTGCATACTATAAAATAGCAACTGTTTTCTCTTGCTATTGCAGTGTGTGGAAACTTATATTCTAGAAATCTTATAAACGTCTAGAAATGGCAAGTCTATTAGCTTCTAAGCATTCATTCTTTAAAAAACACAAAACATTCACTGAATAAAAAGTATAGTATATACCTGGATATGGTAGATTTTAATGTGTTTCTGGTTTTATGGAAAGACAAAAAAAACACAGTAAGTTTTACCGAAGCTCTTTGGTAATAATTTCAGTAATATTTTCAATGAAATATTGTTTTATAATATAGCTCATGGGCTGCAATAGTGACACAACTGAAAAAACACGTTTTTTGGACTAAGAACATGTGTAAATATGAAATTACACATTCTTTTCAGCAGCAATACTAGCGAACTCATAATTCAACTTGAAGGTAATCCTCGTTTAAGCAAACTAAAGCATTCTCTATGCATTTTTATTGGCAATGAAAACTATAAACCCACTTATCTCAAAACATGATTTTTTTGAGTTGCGCAGCTATTGCAGCCCATGAGCGATATGTGTTAAAATTTGGTAATTTTATATCTTAAAGCATGGCATGAAAACTAATTATTCGGTTATTTTTTTTTTGCATTTTTTACTAAATAAGTGGAATTAAAAACTAAAATTAAAAACACCAAAATTTACAGCAAACCGCAACCTTATGAAAAGGGAAAATTACCAAAGAATGATTTAAATACCGAATATCTAGGTTTCATTACCAGAATTATGTTTTTTTTTACCGAAATGTTTCACCCATTAGTGCAGTAATTTCACCAGATTTTTTTTCTCTGTGCATCACTTCCCTAGTAACCTTAGACCCAGATGGGTTCAAAATTGGCTCAATATGGGCCCTATAAAAACATGCACCAAGCGACCAACATCGGGATGTCTAGATTTTTTAACATTGGTCCTAGAATGGCACATACAGGGCCTACATTGGCCAATATAGAACCTACATTGGCTAAATAATGAATACAAAATATCAGCTGAATCTGACAATTCTATATGGGGCCGATATAGGTTGTAAAGATATCGGGTGAATCTGAAAATTCAAATTAGGGCTTATATCTGAAAAATAAAGGCCCTTTGAATCCCTACTGAGCCAAGATTCATGAATATTAGCCCTATGAAGGCCCTAATTATTTTGCTGCTAGGGTAAGAGTGCACTGTCTAAAGTTGTAGTTGCTAATGTGCTGCTTCATTAAAATTTTCAACAGAAATTTGCTACGTCATAAAGTTTTCATTGCTCGCGCAAACTTTACACTCGCACTTTTTCCTGTCAAAGTTTATTTATTGAAGCAAAAAACATTTTTTTGCATCAAGTGTTCTATACGAAAGTATTAAAGATAATATTTAGCAAAAGTAAAACGACATAAATCATCTCTACTTGGCTCTACTTTACACGTCTCTTATCCATATATGTCATGCATAGTACTAACTGAGTCAAATCTATAACTCTGTAACTATTTAGTTATAGCTATTTCTCCTTTGCATTACGGAATTATTTCATAAAAAATATTTTGTATTAGTATCATTATTAAATGGCAATAATTCTACGTGTTGAGAATCAGTTGTAAATTAAGGCAGATACAGAACTAAGTACTTAACGTAAAGTTTGGGAAATAAAATTAAAAATAAACAACTTTTAATAATAATTGTAAAACCCTGAATAGATTGCTGGATAACTTTAAAATTATAAACTTCATAGAAATAAAAAAATAGAAAATTTAATTGTTAGGACTAATTTCAGACTACGTAAAAGAGGAATTTTCTAGCTTAGTATTATCTTTGTTTTTAAGCTTCTTTTTGAAAAACAATTTAATGAAAATATGTCATTAAACTAACATAGGTATAGTAAGTAAGGTATGGTAATGTTGCATTAGTTAGTAATTTTTTTTTCTAAATCGAGTTGTAAATAGCATTATTTTACTTACTTATAACTAGTATTCTTATAATTAGTATAATTAATAAAATACAGATAAATTTAGATTGGATTAAAATTAAAGTGTGATATCTTTATTTGTTGAATTCAAATAAAATGTTTGAAGATGACGGTTGATAAGAAATTTAATTTGAATAACCTTGTGAATAGTATTTTGACTACATTTTAATATCATTGATGTCATATCCCTTTTGAATTAGTTAACCTTGCTCCTTCCCCCTTTTTCTTTATTCTTTCTGTTATTATCTAGCAGATCTATGTAGCCATTGAAGGAATCTAGTTCCACTAAAAAGGAATTGTTATGATTTATTAATGTACAAAGCAAATACATTATATAAATTTGCAAAACGTGATATTTCAGAACTCCTTAGACAAAATATTTTTTTAACTGGTGTAAATCATTATTCTATCCTTTAAAATCTATCAGTAAATAAATTTTCTAAATATTATTTTTTCATTAAATTATCATTTATCGTCAGGTTAAATTTTCCCAAATAAGCTTTTCTATAAATTAAAGTTAACGAGATAAGTATATGCAAAAATTAGAAATAAAATTAAGGATTTCAAACTTTCGATCGCTGTCTTGACCAAACTATTGGAATCATACTTCCTAGGTTGAAGCAAACCTTCGTAGTTTCTGAGTTATCCAATTTTTAGAAGTTATTTGGATTTCTCGAGATTTATTTGTCCGATTTAATTCAAACTGTGTACTCTGCTTTTTGAAATTACATACAAGCGTCGTAAAAATTTGCTTACCTTGTAATTTAAACTATTAATAAACAAAATAATTAAAAATAAGTAAAAACTACAAATTATTTAATCTTTTAATAAACCAATTTTATAATCTTGTGCAAAAATGAGTTTTAATTCGCTTTAAAATTTCTCGAACTAAGATGAAATTCGCAGGGGGAAAAAATTAAAATTAAGGGGTCCGAACTTTCGACCATTAGCTTGTCTAAATTAGTCTCCCCCTCCTCAAGAATCGAAATCCTTCATAAAAAGGTAAGTTTATTCATAGAAAGTACATTTTTGTGTTTTATTTTGTAATCTAAGATATCGTCTGCAATAATTAACATATTGTATGCTAGCCCCTCAAAACATTAAAATTGAGTCCCAAAAATGCGTTAAAATGCTGTAAGTTAAAGTGCGTTAAAATGCTATAATTAAATCAAAGGATATTTAGTATTACCAGTTTTTTTTTTAATTTCGCACACTCCGAAAAATATTATATTGATTACTGAACAATAAAGTTTAAAACTTGAGTTATCACAAATTTTGCTTTTTTATAGTACAGCAAATTCAAATTAGATGCAAAATAAATAAAATATTTTTAATCAACAGAAATGTGACCTAAATTTCCAAAGCTTTATAACTCTATATTATCTAATAAATGGATCATAAATTTCATAATGAATTTTAATATCTTTGGTGAAATTTTCCCTCGCCGTTTTCTTTAAAAATTACACTTTTGAGCTAAATAAAAGTTTCAAAATGAAACATTCCATTAATATTGAGTAAACAGCCAAAGTAGGTCATCAGTAATATGCATGTCACTTCTAAAATTTCACCCCAACTTTTAATATCAATTTCAAATTGCATAAGAAAGCTACAACTTAAACTACTTATCATAATTTTGGGGAAAAATAATTTTAATGACTGCTATTCTGCAAAATAAAGGTTAATAAGTGGGATAATAATGGGATAAAGGATAAATAAATTTTTTTCTGATAAATTTTTTCTAGCATAGGCCATCGACACTCAATTTTATTTATAAAAATATAAAAGCATGTTTAAAGTTTCAAAAAATTGTTTAGAAATTATTTTTAAAATTTCTCTTCGTGAAATCTATATTTTTTGGTCCAAAATGTCTTTCTGCAAAATTTTGTCATATATTTTGCAAATTGTAAACAATTATAGTGTATTATTACCACCATTTTTTATATTGAGATTAACTAAAGTTTTTCGCCATTGATGTAGTTAAATTTTATTTTACTTCTTCATTGTTATAGTTTTATTTATTTATTTATTCACATTTTGTTTGTTTGTTTATTTATATATTGATATATTTATTCACGTTTTGTTTGTTTGTTGTATTATAACACATATTTCCATGCTCATTAGAATCAATTTAACAGCTTTATTGAAAAAAACTGTTTGTTTGGAAAACAACCATATTTTTAGCATTCTATTTGCACAAATGCTTTCAAACAATAGTTATTTGGTCAATTTTGTAGAATTTCTTGCATGATAACTACAGTTCTGTTCCTAAAAGTGTATATAATTTTCCTCAATACCAAAATTGGGAGCAAATATACACCAAACTTTTTTATAGGGCAGCTTAGAGGTAGTTTTAATTAATTAATATTTTTATTTTATTTTGGGGCAAATATTTGAATGACTGTTATCAAAAATAACTAATAATAGAAATACTAAACGTATTTTATCAGATTAGCTATATATGGCATAAACTATATTAGTGGAAATAACCAACTAAAGCAATAAATTAAATAGAATTATATCAAATTATAATCAAAAAATTTATGCATTATTTATAACTATCACTTTTATTATGCATACTATTGTATTGAACAATTTATCACAATATGAATTATTTATAACACTCATTTATTCTTTGCATACTAATGTGTTTACCAATTTATCACACTTACCAATGTTGATTGATTAAAAGTTTCGTAATTTATATTTTAAATTTTTGAAGTCAATATTTATTAAATATAATTTTTTATTTTTATGATATTTATGATAAATATCTTTTTTTTTCTACGTTTGAATGTTGTTTTTCTACCTTTGTTAGAACCTTGAATTAAGTTAAGCTTTTCAAATCAATTGTCATAATAAAATTATATAAACTATAATATACAATATTCTCTTGATTATACTGCACTGCGAAAAAAAGGATGATCAAATATACCAGAATAACGTGAAGTTTACCGTGTTTCTGGCTCTATGGGAAAACCAAAGACTAACCGAAAGGAAAATTTTTATCTCACCGAATTGCTTTGGTAATGATTTTGGTAAAATTAACTACAAAGTATAATTTTAAGACATGTGATAAAATTTATTAATTGCAATAAATTTTGGTAAATGCAGTACATTTTAGTAATTTTATCTTAATACTTTAGAACATAGCACAAAAATCATTACTTCGGTTGAATTTACATTAAAGTTTTGTATTTCTTACTAAATATGTTACAATATGAGCTATAATTTTTAAAACCAAAATATCCGGTGAATGCTTATCATATGAATGAAACAGGATAATAAAATTGATGTTTTAAATAGCGCATGTGTTTCTTTTATTTTTCAAAATTATTATTTTTTAACAGAAATGTCATAAGCATACATAAAAGTAATTTTACCTGCATTTTTTTCTGCCTGTAAGAATTGCATATTTAAAAAAAACAAAAACAAAAAAAAAACAATTTTCCCTAATTTATTTTTACAGAAATGCTTACCTAATTTATATCATAAAGTCCTGTAAATGCTGAAGTATCACAATTTTTTTTATCCTAATCTAATCAACAGAAACTTTATAAAACAAATCATTATAAATCCCAGTCGATAAATAAAACAAGTATCAGGGAAAAGTTCATAACACTGTTTTCAGCATCCTAGATGCTGAAATCACTAGCCCTTCATCAGGAATCCATCCTCTAATAATCAGCTATGACGTTGATCTTGACAGGCAACCACGTGACTAATCCATTACCCATTTCGAGAGCATATTGTTTATGCGTGATGCAATATAGTTTGAGACAATACACATTTCTTTGTTACTTTCACTAATCAGAGTTTTTATTCAGGTAGCAATTAAAAACAACGTAAAAATGTTCAAAAATCGTAATAAATGTAGAATAATAGTAATAAAAAGGATAATAGTAATACAAAATTTATTCTGAGTAACATAAATGCAAAATTATATGGATATCATTATACGTTTTAATTATTAAGCTTCATTACATGTTTCCTTTATATGTTTCTATCATATGTTTTCATTAAGTCCTTAAATAGTACAATTAATAGTAATTAATAGACCATAATTGTAATAGTCCAATTTGAAATGGTTCCAATAAATACATCTTGAATATCACTAAGAAGAACAATTTCAACATATTTTGTACTTTATACGGTTAGTACTTATATTGTAAGGTAACACTATAAATCACTATTCACTATAAATGGTGAACATTAATAATTTTATAAAGTTTATACTATTAGAAAATTTGAACTATTTCTGCTTGCACTTTCTATTATATTTTCTTTTGTTCATAAAAGCACGATTAAATTTATTTTCCTTTTCATTAAAACCGATAGGAAAACACATTCAATAAAGCATAATATAGAACAAAATAAAAACTTTACTATACAAAATAGAAAAAAAAATGCTTCATTACTTATGACTCCGATTTTACTTACGACTTCTGATTTGATCGCAATAAGCTTTATCCCAGAAATGCAGGATGTCATAAAAATTTTTATACGTTTTTACATTTCAAGATGTAATTTGTATTGAAATGGAGAATTCGTTTTTGTATGAATTTCTAGGTGTATACAGCTGCATACATTTTTTTATTAATTATTTTGGAAATGTGTTAAAATAACTGAATTATCTTGTTCGGTTCCTACTTCTATTTCTCTTAAAATTTTATTTACATTGTCATTGATGGTGGTTTACTCTCTTTACCTCACTAAATTATAAAAAACAAATTAATAGTCAATTGTTAAATCAGGCGTAATTGAATTATTTTTATTTCTTTAAAAAAAATTTAAGCTTTTTAAAAAAAATTTCAAATAAAAAATAAAACACAAATAAAACACAAAAATATTTAAAAAATTTAATGTATGAAAAAGTTTAAATTAAAAACTAAACTATTTTCCGATTATTTTTGATTATTTCCGATTTATATATATNAAGGAAGGTAAAATATATATTCATTCATTCACTCAAGGTAATTTCTCTTTAGCTTTCATCTAATAGATAACTCAGGTAAAAGTGACTCTCACACTTTATAATTTAGAAAAACTTGGATAAAAAAGATAGTAATTAAATTAATTTATGTACATAATAGAACTTATCAAACATCTGGTCTGCTTAAATTGTTTAGTTGATTCCAGCAGTACTAGCTGAATAGGAAGTTACATGAAGTTAGCAACTAAAAACTATTTTTTTAAACCGTGTTTTTTATATCAGTTATTAATCTTTAAAGTATTCTTCCTCTTCACGCAAAAGGAAACCGGGAGCTTAAAATGTTGAAATAATATGTGCTTTAAACAAAGAAAACCCGTGGATAGCTTTGCAATTACGTGATTGTGTAGAATTAAACTCTGACTAAACTTGAATAGAATTTTTGTAAATGATAAGATGAATTGCCACACACTTTTATGCTTAAATAATCTAAATTATTTTCAATAATATATTTTGATTTAAAAAAAAAAGTTTTACCACTTTATTACGGCATTATTTTGACTTAGAAAATTTGTGCTGTTGCAGCGGAAGGAAAATTAAAATTTAGAGGACATTTTTTTTAGCATTGTGACTTTTTATTATATTTTAGAGTTTGATTTAAACTTTATTCAATCTAAGTCACGGAGATAACTTTAAAAAGGATTAAATTTTAATTCTTCCCTGATTGCTAATTTTATGGTCGTCAAATACGTAAAACTTACGTCAAGCCAAATAGATAAATAAATATGCTGTTGCGACTGTTGCTTACTGGTTGTTTAGCGCTTTCCATTTGGTTGAAAGTTAACCTGTACGTTCTAAGAATATTGAGAGCAACAATACTATCTCTTGAAATATTACTGATATTGTTTATCACTTTATTTTTACTTGTGAGTCATGTGATAATTGTGTGGGATCTTAAGAAAAATGTTAAATTATTCTTGAATTTCTGTGATGTAATCATTAGGGTAATCCAAATGTCACGTAGTTAAAAGCACAGTTAAGTTTAGAGATTATCCATCTATATATATATAATAAATTAAAAAATAAAGAAGTGGGAATTAATTTTTTAAGAAAATGTAGTTAATCTAGGAAGTCACGTTGCAAAATATCAATGTTAAACATAGGGATAAAATTTCAAAATTTCTTCTTTCCAAGAATCGGAGACTTCACAGATAGATAATATTCAAAGATCAATGTCCTTGTTATAATCAGGAAGATTGTTTAGAAACGAAAGTTCTAGATGTATATCAAAATTAAAATAAAATTAAGGTATCGATGATGGATTGATTAGTATTTAGTTTTCTGCTTAATAGCTTTAACGTGTTTTCATAGAATTTAAAAATAAAAAAATAAAGGCACTTCCGCTTCTAGTTTAAGCAAAATGGCACAGCAAAAGTCAAAGAGCTATTAAGTTTTCAACATTAAGGAATCTTCAATGGTAATAGATCATATGTGAAAACGTATAGCGGAATACTCTTAGCTGTACTGTAGGTCAATGTTTTATATTTTGTTTATCGAATATTTTCTATAAATAGATTTTCCTCTAATCTTACAGACGATAAAAGCTTCAATTTTAATCCGATTTACCTGAATATTTCACAGATACGTTTAACTAGTTTTTATAGGACTTTTTTATTGAATTTATACTTTTTAATTTCACATAGACGATATTTTGTTCAAAAATTTAAAAGAAAGTCGCGTGCAAAGGAAGGTAAATTAAGAGTGTTTAAAAGAGGGTAAACATCGGATTATAAATCGATCTAACCAACATTAGAGAGAAGGCCTTCTTATAAGGCCTTCAAGTGGGTTATTTTATTAGTCAAACGTAATGAATATAAACTAAAGGGAGGAGAAAATAAAAAATACGTCACAGCTTTCAATCTGCGCAGTGGGGGGTATTAAGAAAAATGTCCCACCCTTCGATCTACTAAACTGTGCAATGGGGAGAAAACAATCAATCGATCTACAAAACTGTGCAGTGGGGGAAAACAATCCTTCGATCTAATAAACTGTGCTATGGCGAGAAATTAAGAAAGATGTCAAGACCTTCGCATCACTGCAGGAATGGTATGGTAATCCATGCAATGGCCTTCTCTCTCCTTCGAGGCGTTGATTTAACTCCTTAATGCATAGCCACAAAAAAATTTTTGCATATGAAAATACTTACCTGAACTGCGCTAGTGTTTATATGCTTAAACCAAGAGGATATTTCTATTTATTACCCAACACGTTGAAACTCTATGCTTTGACTTTAGATCCACTTATAAATATTTATGTAATTAATATATTATGGAAAAACTATATGTTTTTGCCAAATGAATTATATTATCACAACACATTGTGCTACCACTTTTTGATAAAAGGATGCTGAATACGAAAACATTAAATTGAGGAAGATATCAACTTTTTAGATATCTGACTTTAGGGCTTTTTTATTTCTCATACTTTTTTATTTATTAGATTAAATATATTTCAAATCAAGCTAAATAATGGAATAAAATTTTAGATTTTTATTGACTCGGCAAGCCTGAAATACACAATTTAAAAATATGCTTTTTAGACAAGCATTGCAAAATTATTTTCTGTCATTCGTCATTGGATAAATATCACATATGGATACTGAGATGTTAAGTTAAAATCAAAATAAAAAGATAGAAGGAAAACGTTTCAATTTAAACTAATGATTTCGTTTCCCTTCTGTTTTGTTCACCAAATACCGCGAATGTTACTCAATCATTTTTATTTCTTAGCGATTGATTATTTTGATCAATATTTACATATCCCGATTTTCTTTGTATTAACACAGATCTGACCCGAAGATTAGTTTTTTGGATGAAATTGAAGACTAATAATTTGTTTAATTACCATTGCAATTTCATAAATATTTTTATGTTTTTTTAATTCCCAATTTATTTTTGGTAAAAACTCGCAAAATGTTCTTTTTTTTCCATAAAATTTTATTTAGCATTCGAATCAGTCAAGTTACTGTTACGATACAATATAAAAGAAAAATCACATATTTAGGATGTACGTATATAATATTTCTTAAAATAAAACTAGTTTTCGAATCGAACATACATTCAGCACAGTTATTCTTATGAATTCGTACAAAACGGAAGTGAATAGAAATTGAATATTATAAAATTATTTTATTCAATTGACAGATTTATCTTAATTTTATGAAAGCATAAATATGTTTATTATACAAATGAAAACATACATCCATTTTATAATAGTTCATATGAGCAGTTTGTGAAATCGATCCGAGAAGAAGATTAAAGTTAATTGGCAAATAATCGAGCACAATCAATATGTTGGATAAATTACTAACGAGGATTGAAGTTTACTAGGTATTAAATAACCTATGATCAGTTTGTCGATTCAATCCGACAAGAACTCACAGCATTTCAAAACTGCAAATGTTTACAAACCACCATATTGGCCGCCATTTTGCCACTATTTAGAAATTGCACAATTATTCACCTTTAAACTTCAAATAATGGCATGAAAAGCATTCGTTACACGTTCAAAACCTACCCAAACATCATTTTATACGAGAATTTAGTTAAATAGTTTAAATATTCAATAGTTATTTGACAAATTTAGCTCACTTCGGAAAACGCTTCCGTCTTCACCAACGAGGTGCAGATTGGTGTGAGTTTTATCAATTATTGGTAATTAGATTTAGCAAT